CATTTCAACCTTTATCGATTAGATTGATTCGGATATAACTGTACCGGATGATATACTAGATAATTTTTCTACTTGCAAATTGAGGCGCCAATACTTACTTGGCACTTACGAAGAACAAAAGCGAAGTATAACTGAACTGGTAGAGAAAGAGTAAGATTTTGAGAGGCGAGAATTACTGGTGGGCTTCTCAGAATGAAGCCGCTTTAGCGGAATTTTCAGAGAAAGGGGATAAGATCATCCAAAGTAATCTCTGCTAAGAAATACCTGAGCGTTGAACGTACTGGTAATTCTCATTATATTTTTTGTTCATTTAATTGTAAGTGCTTGACATCACCGTTTACAATTAGCAACATCACATTCCATTTTGTCTCGTAGAGCTGTCATTTTCAAAGACCGTCAAAACGTCATACGGGTAAGGTCCAGCTGCCGATGCCTGCCGTATTCCTCCCATCACAAAGTGAATAGAGTAACCAGTAATTGGAAACCAGCTTCCAATATGACATGTATGAAGAGGATTAGTCAGGAAAACATCACTAATTGAATGTTGCTCCAATGATTACTCGATGCGTAATGGAAGACAGCATTAGTGAGCTTAGAAAAGCCTCCTTTTGAGAGTATTTCGGGGTAGTTTTGTTTTATTTACTTTGTCAGATTAGTTTATGTAAGCGTTCTCGATACGCTACTTGTAATGGGCGCTGTTCATTCGATTTTGTGAGTGACAGGTTTGTTGATTTGCCCGTAGTATGATGCGTCTTCCGTTCACATCCATCCCATGCTGAAATGCAAGAATCCCCTGTTTATGTCCTCTACCCGTCCTTTGGTTGTGCGTGAAATCAGGAAAGTATTATAGTAAATAGCAAACGTATGTGACGACATTCTGCCAGTTGCTGGTCAATAATGTATTTATTCCGGTCGGACCCTTAAGAATTATGTTCACATCATGAATACTCACTCAAGTATAAAGAAATGCCACGTTGAGAAAAACTGAGCTTTGATCGGAAGTTCGAAGTTCCGCCTTTCACGGCAACAACTTCCTCGAGTCTGAAATTCAGCTTAATTTCAAGTGCTCATTAGAAAAAATTTAAGTTCATATCAAACTTCAGTGCCCCTTTTTTGAAGATTTTCAGTGTCAATAATGGAAAGCTGAGATTTTGTTCAGAAAAGACGGGATATGAGATCTGTAATATACAGCACATGAGTAATGATTTGTTTGAGGAAGTAGCTCATTTTAGAAACAGTTTTTACATTTGCAGTTTCTCAATGGAATCCTCCATTTATAGAAAAGCTTTAAAAGGGTGAAATATTCTGAAGCAGCAAAAAGTTTCTAAGAAGGAAACGAGCCCAAAATGTTAGCTCGCGCTGAAAATAAGTTGATTCCGAGGGCTCTCGTGCTCACAGGAATCACGGAAAAAACTTATTCTCGAATTCCACAGATTATTTCCATACTTGTTACGAATCCCATTTGGGATCTGTTCCTGTGCCCTTTCAAGGGCTTCCTAGAATGAAATCCTTTCATGCTAAATGATCTGCTCTATTGTACAAGTAATTTTGCTCTCTGAGGAGCTATTCATGTACATACTTATGTAGGGCAATATTGTAGAAATGAACTCGTTTGTAATCCTATACGGTAGAGTAAATAAGCTAAAACAAAGGCAACAGAAGATCCCCCAAACCCGGCCTACTAATCACACTTGCACTAAAAAGACCTCATCCTTCTGTTCTTCTAGGAACTATGGATCCAGACCCCGTAAAATCCTCCCACCAATTTCACCGTTACTTTGAAAATGGCCGTAGGGAAAGAAAATAGCTTTAGCCTATGAAAAAATTCTCCGGACGGCTGAACAGTCTTCCGGCACCATGAGGGAGCTTTTCTATAGCCTTCTAGAAGCCACGACAAAATCAGCGAGTGCTCCCATCTGTGGAGCTCCGTTCTTCTCCAGGTTTTCCTGTCACTCGGTTCATCTGCGAGAAATTTGCTTTAGTATAGAAGTCGTACGTCTTACTGAGTCAACACACTTCCGGTTTTTATCCTCATAGCTGGGCTTTGCTCTAAGAAAGAGGATCATTCGGATCCAGCCCGTGTTACAACGCCATACCTTTTTCCCACCTCAAATAACGTTTTTAGGAAGAAAAGGTGGATTAAAGAGTCTACCCATGTTTGACAAACCAGGAACTTGGCCTTGAATACAAATTACAATCTCGCATTCTCGGCTTGCATAGTAGATTAGATCAAACCGGTGTGAATCTAATATTTTCGTGAGATTCCAGTGAAACAGGAGGTAGTCAATTTTTTCGGGTCCGAGTCCCTGTAGCCCTTATTCAAAATAACGGTGACTATTTGATTACAGAGCCTGTAGATTAGCTAGTACTTAAAGAGCTCTCTGTAGCAGCTCTTTTCTATAACTAGTACTTTCTATATGAGACAAGTAAGTGATTTGACCGGAAGTGAAGTGGATTTCTTCGAAGCCTTCTTCCAAGTATTAAAGTCCATTTCCCCAAGTGTAAATAGGCCTTCTGAAAACCAATTATGTTTTGTCCATGAAGTCACTTTGGATTCCATCTCTAGCCTTCTCCATCGGGGGTGCTCTTCGAAAAAACCCTGACGTGGAGCCGTTCTTTAATTTTCAATGGAAGGGCCGAAATGCAATCCCTAATGACTGGGACCACTTCTCCATGGGAATGTGGCCGAATCAATGTCAGCCGGTCGAGAACCCTTGTGTTTCTTACGATGATTTGTTTTCTTCAAGGTAAAATTATTGCCATACAACTACTCCTCGAAAAAAAANNNAAAAAAAACAAACACTAACAAGATGAAGTCGGGGCAGTGCATTAGCGCTCGGCCCTGTTGTTATCCATTAGTGGTTTGGCAACATTTCCCAGGCACCTTTTTAGCGTACCCTTAGCACTTTTGTTGTTTCATTACGGGAATATATTACGCACCGTTGAAATCGAATCACCGCCCAGGCGAGCCAACACTTCACAGCCCTCAAATCGAAAAACGAACAAAAATTAGAGATACTTGAGGGACAGGATTGGAGCATTCCATCACTTTTTCACTCGGGATGCGAGCTAATCCTTTTGACATTAACTGCTATCTTTCTCCGTCTCAGACTTCGCAATGTTCTGGGAAGCCCTCTTTGAGACAGACTCCCAACATTCCCAGAGCACAGATGCTGTGCCTTCGGGATGTGTCGATGAACCTCTATATAAGACAGAATAGGCGAACGGCTGATGGATAGCCTTTACTCAATTAATGGCCCGCCAGTTAGAAGTGCACATCAGCTTTCTATTCTTCCTGGTAAGGAATTCGGGGAAAAATGGGAGGGAGNGGGGGGGTTAGGTGGGGAACAGTGGCTGGGTGTACGATAAACTTGTATTAAGTATCATAGATGATACACTTGAATCACTACTAAAAGAGAGAAAGGAAACAAACAGGGTTCTGCCAATCCTGTTCCATGTTGTGCCACGCGTTTGATTTCCATTCAGAATCACTCTGGCCCTTGGATGCTAGTTGAAGTATCACATAGTTTATAGGGAGCCAAAGAACAAGCTTATTTAAACTGGTACCTTCCTTTCTCATCCGGTTTCCTTTTTCCTGGGGGCCCTCAGATGTGAAGTGCTCCTCGAATGCTCCATAAAATAGTTCATTCCAATGAGTTTCAAGCGAGCTTACAATTAGCCCTTATGGAAGTGGATGGAAGCCAATTGCTCTTCTTAGTATTCAGGGCTTTCTATGTGAGAAAGTCTGCCGACTAATCGCATCACGTCGCCTTTTCAATCATTGTAATTCAGAGCCGAATTCATTAAATACCTTCAATGTCTAACCTACAGTAGAAACCCAACAAGTTACCTATTTGTTATTGGAGACGGAAATAGGTGTTGTCGAGCAGAAGTAAATGTCCGGAAACAGAGAGAGTATACATAGCTAAGACCAAAAATCAGTGTAGATTCTCAATGAGAGTCCAAGTCTTCAGCATGTCTACCAGCGTCAGCAATTATCTCCGATGACTACATGCATCTAGTCAGGCAGTCATCATTAATAGGTAGCACCAACAGACTATAGGCCATACTTACAGGGGCTGCAAGATTGGAAATGGGACCAATCCAGGAAGTCAGATGGAAGATCGGAAACTGTTCGGTTACAGAGCGCCTGCGTGGTCCGNCACACCTTGTCTATAAGAATCGACAAATTGGATAAATAAATACACAGCCAGCAAGCTACATACAGTGCACTTCTAAAGGGAATGTGATTGAAAACTTCATTCTGCATGGAAGTGCAGTTTCCAAAAGTTTTCATAAAGGCAGTGGATGTGGGCCATGGAAATAGTTCTCCTATTGTAGTTATTCAAGACGATTTATTTAATTCAAAGGCGACTTTTCTTCCATCACCTCATCCTGTCAGGAAAGGTAAGATTTCGGCATTGCATTGAGTCGGAGAAGCCAACCTCCTTCCTTGAATTTGGCAAATTTCTCATGTTGTTTTCATTTGAATCACATCTTCAAGGCCAGACCATGGCCTCCTATCCCTCCGGCCTAGACCAAATGCTATCCGATTTATCAGAAAGGATAACGGCTTAAGTCAGAGGGATAACACCGGGATAAAACAGTCTGCTGGGCCAAAGTCTCAACCAAATGCCACAAAAAACCAAATCAAAGTCATATATGGAATTCATCTCAAAGGGAGTAATCAGCGCTAGCCCTTTCAATTTCCGGCACCACGTTTTTTTTTNTTTTTTTTTCTATTTTACCCATGTTTATTTACTATAAAGATGACCTAGCAGGGAATAATGAAACGAATTTGTGAATATGAAAACGTATTCTATACTATGATGGATTCCCATATGTAATAAGCTCATGAATCATTCATAGATCATCTTGTGTAGTATGTTTACTGCCAAGTCATCTAAACTAATGCGTCAGTGATTGTTTTGAGGGCAGTTAATCAGGCCATTTACTTCTGAAAGCTGAACAAGAATACCGTGGTGTAATATCTAAGGAAAATGGTGGTTTCACTCATCGAGCATGGGGTTCCGGCAATACCCCATAATAGACAGGTGCTCAGCCCAGCTACATGACTGACACGATCAAACACCGCTTGAAGCGCTAGCTCGAGCTCATGTGTAATGATCTCTAAAGACTAGAGATTGGCGTGTAATCTTATGATGTAGAAGGAGATTGGACCGAATTACTTTCACCCGCAGAGTAGATTAACTCAATCTTCTATTACTTTATACAGTACACAGCACGTACGATGGAATTAACACTTACTCCTATAAATAACAGTTTTGGAACACCTTTTGAACTGTTATCATAAGATTACATGGTGATAAGTTCATTGAATGGGAAACTGTGCCACGCACTCGCATAGAATTAAAATTATTGGAGCTTAGTATTTCTTTACTACAAAGGATATTCCTTTTTATCCGTCTACCCACATGTCCCTTCAGCTCATTTAACAGGCATATCCACCAGAAAAATGTCAGGAACTTTACATGTACTCAACAGACTACAGTAAGGAGTACTTCAATTGAACTTATGTAGGAAAACAATACAATAACAGTGCAGGAGTTATAATCCAGTAGTGCCCAACATAGAACCGATCGTTCTACAGGTCTGCTGTATTTTAAATTCATATGAATGGCCCCAGCGGACGTAAGCTAGCCGGCTTGTCACTTCTGAACGGAGAGCTATCTTGACATGGTGACGGCTGGATGGCACCGTCAATCAGCAGTTGAGCTTAGAATTTTAAGTAGCAATTTTGAATTGACATTCGACTTTGCTAAACATACATAGTAAGCGCATAGCTATTTACGGATAAGACAACTCGATTGCAAACCACATTTTTTGTTAATAAAAATCAACAAGCGACTGCTTGCCGATAGAACATTATTGCTAAAGAGCGTATTTTGCAGTAAATAGTGAAAAAGGAAACTTCTAAACAATATCTGGCGATCAATGCAAGGATGTCGATAGCAATGCACTAGTTGCGGTAATTGATGCCTTCATAGCTGGCGGGAGCAGCCGCGAGCGGTCGCGCGCTGTCATCTGCCCGTTGGAACAGAAGTTACGTAACTAATTCTAATGTAATTGTAACTTGTGATGATTTCAGACATTCCGATTAGTGGTCGTTGGCTCTGCTCGAACAGGCAAATCATCACTTGTAGGACGATTTCTTGATGCGGATTTTGAAGACCGTTACATTCCTACGATTGAAAACTTTTACCGGTAAGTATAAGACTGTTTCGAAAGAAAAAGGCCTCATAACTGTGGTTCCACCGGCGATTTAACAATTTCGAAGATATCTGAAAAAACCTTTTTTCATTGCAGTAGCTCGAAAGTTTTGAACATACAAAATTATGATCTTTGGAATCTTATACCAGTCCCTGATTTGACTGGTAATTGCCAAGATTCTGTGATGCCCCGGCTGGAAGTTGTACAATATTAACACATTGAGAGTAACTATCTGTAGACCTCATCACTGGCGTTCCAGGAAATTGTATAAAATCAAAAGCGAGGTGTACCAGTTGGACATTATCGATTGCTCAGGCAATGATCCATTTCCGGCGGCTCGCAAGCTCAGCTATATCTCAGGCAAGTGCCCTTTTGATTTAATTACGCTTGTTATAATATATGGCTTATAAATGAAAAGTCATTCTTTACAGTCAGCTGACTTAGTGCAATACCTCAGTAATTTGATAAGCTGGGCAAAGAAAATGGTTTTCTTTAATTCCAGATGAAGCCGCAAATGCAGGGATACCATGAAATTTGTCCGTATGTAATAGTAGCCATTCCTAGTTCCCAGTCAGTTATCTCAAGGGCTCATTGTAGAATGGGAAAGTATAGGGCAAACTCGCGAAAGGGCTTACCCACTAAGAACTATTGTCCCCCTAAACTGCCTCCTACACTTTGTATTCAGGGACTTTTCATTTCAGGTGATATGTTCCTTCTTGTTTCTTCCGTTGACAATGCTGATTCCGTCGCTCAAATGATCGAAGTAATCTTTTTACGTCCTCTCATGTATCGATTGATCGATATTGATTGGTTCATGCCCCACTCATCAAACAACATTTCAGATTCGACAACAAATTCACGACTGCAAGGCGTCAAGGGGTGCCGCTGGAGGTGAAGATACTCCTTGTGTATTTATTTTGAACAAGGCCGATCTTCCAGAACACCGTTGGCAGGTAAATATCGAGATTATAAGTAAACATAGTATTTTGGATAGTTATTGATTGCCTATGGTATTCTATCTCCAGACGACTGAAAACGAGGTAGCAGAGTTGGTAGAACAGGCAACAGGAACGAAAGATGGCTTCATCGTCTGTTCCGCAGCCACCAACCTCAACATCGATAAGGTAATTAGGATTCTATTTTTTGTATTCCTACCACTTTTTATTCTATAGTCAAAGTAGGTATGACCCACGTATACGTACAAATTTCCATTTTTCACTTCATTACAATATTTGTGCCAATGCTAGTACATTAAGGCTCTAAAAGATTGAATCTTTTACGGAAAAAATTTGAATTACTTAGATGTAGCCACCAGTGAAGGCTAAAATGTCGTCATTTTCAGGCATTTGCTAGGCTGTTCACCATGAATAAATGTCCCAAGCATATGAATCCTGAGCTACACAAAATGCTCCGAAATGAGCTGTCAGCCGATGGCGAAACGGGACGTCGACACATCCTGAGACGTATGAGGAGTCGATTTTCACGAGAACATGACGACATGACCACGTAGGGTTTTTATTCTGCTATTTTTGATTATAAAAAAAGAGGAAAAGGGAATGTCTCTGGTGGCAGTCAGTAAGGCTTCAGGTTGCGCCTAGTACATAACCGCCATTCCAAAAGTGTCATGGCTTTCATAGGCTCACGTTATCGATAGAATGGCTAGTGGGGACTGCCTGATGTGCATTTTGGGCCTTCTACTGTCCAATACGGAAGAGATGGGAATCAACTGACCCCAGAAGAGTGTAATGATCGAGCCGCTTACCTCACCTATAGCCATATTCCACGTATAGTAGATCCGTACTTGTCCTTTGACGATGTTTCGTCTCGGAAACTGACAAGATGGCTCAACCAAGATCCCGATGAAAGCTTTTCCATTGAACTAGGTTGACATGATTCACTGGAGAAATCTTCAGCCGTTTTGTCATTGTCGTTTCCCATATCGTATTCGACATCTTCGTGGATTACAGGGATGACCCAATTCGGCCGTCTGATACCATCACTGATAGACCAATGTTCACATATTTCCAAGCAATAAAGCTAGATGTCGACAACTAAGCGATTACCTAAGAAGCTAAGTGACCGCATTAAAAAAATACATGGCATNCTTTGTCATAGGTATCATGTTGAATTGGCCGTCCCGAATGAACTGAAAAGGATGTTGCTACCAATCTCCTACCTCCGACTCAGTGGAAGTACTCAGGGAATACTCAACATGGTAGTAGAGATTGCTCCCAACCGTTTTAGAAAAGGTACTTTCGAAGCTTAGATCGCAGTATAGAACGCACCACCCATTGGAAGTCGATCCAGAGGCATTTGGAGAAAACTGTGAAATTTGTGAAAACTCCCTGCTGAATGAATTTGGTTAAATTTTTGTAAAATGCGGTACTCTCCTTGCGTCCATCCCAGTTATCAAGTGGTCCTATTTTGGACGATATTTTCGATTACCTGAACGTGATTACGTCCCCCTCTTTTTCTAAAGAAATTTCGATGCCTTTCTAGGGATATTGAAGGAGAACATGCTTTAATGGCCTTTTGAAGAAGCTTTCAACAACTGTCATAACTTTCGGTTCCACTAGGTTTTCTGGTGGAGTGGTCGGTTATTGTTCATGGGCCTCTGGGCAATTTGACCGCACCATCTGTTAGAGCCACCATGATGTCGTCGTTCAAAGGGTATACTTCTTATGTGGTCGAATTTTGGTCAAGTTGCCATGATGGGCCAAGAAGCCCTTGGTCTTGCGACTTTTGAAGATCGCTCTATAGCAACCATGACCCTTCATACTGGCTTGATGTTGTTGGTCGACCTTTGGCCTATTGCAGCTGAAGAGCGTTTAAAGCGATGAATGTTAATATCATTTATCTTGATACTCACTCTCTTGATTCTAGAGCCACTACTGAGCTGATGCGCTACTCCCTCAGCTCAAGATCTAAATTTATCTCAGCTTGATATTGAAGTCGTTTTTCAAGAAGTTCCGGCTGCAGCTGTCCCACAATGCGGAAGAGCTCACTTCAAGCTCCTCGCTTATCCCTCTGGAGTGGTAGAAGAGGGATTCCTGAAAGAAAAAATCGATCCCCTAAAACGTCCGCTACTATGTCCGAACTAGTAGTTTTGCAAAAAAGTAGAGTGCAGTAGAATGCAGTTGTGTAGTTGTATGGGTTGCAGTTGTGCAGTGCGAGTTGAGCGTATGCCACTCCTTTACCATTGGATATTCCAGAAGTGCGCCAATCACAATGGCGCACATTCGCGGCACGCACGTCATTACCCACTAATATAGCGCAACCAATTTTATTAAAAGTCTGATCATCGATCACCGAAAAAATGTTTTTTTTATTTAGATACACAGATCTGAACGCTCGACGCCCCAGTCTTCGTACTGATTTGCTCATCAATAGGTCGAAAACATCAGTGATTCATCAGCATTTCGCTCAACAGCACTCACCACAGCGCTTCCGACGGAACGCCGACAATGGTCGCTGTATACTTATGTAGAATCTTTTTTATGTGAATAATTAATTTGAGCTTATCCCCTTTGTCTGTCGGTCTCTTCTGGACTGCCCTCAGAGCAACCCAGAACAAGCGGTTTTAGGACAAAAACTCACATATCAAAAACTCTAAAACAACTCAATATTACAATGTACAGTTACTTGATGTTACTAATTCTTATCATAATGTTTCAATGGTTAAGTAGCTAGGAGTGTGTGTTTAATTGTTTCGGACAGACGTGTACTGCTATTAACGGAATTTGTATGTTTTCAGAGTTTATTTGGTTTTTTTGTGTTTTTTTTTTGGAAAAAAAATGGTTCTCCTTTGTATGAATGCCGTGGCTACAAATGCTTACAAGAAAAATAAGCTGGAACTTTTATTATTATTATCTCTATGAGTCTTATTATTGCAGTAATACAGGCAATCGTCGTGAAGGAATGTTCGAGGACATTTCATGAAAGCTTGACCCGGCTTGGGAGAATGAAATGAGGAACTAATGAATGGATGAATGGTGAAAATGTTATTACAACTGATATCGTATGACTTCTTCTCAGTTAGCCGGCGGTTGAAAATGTTGGGGTGTACTGGCAGGCTTCATAGTCGACGGGTGAGATCATGTTGAATGCTTTCGTCATCACATTGATATAATCTGCAAGGGAAATGTCGTCATTTTGAATCGCAATCAATAATCGATCGATTCTACTCACTGTTGTCTTCAAGGAACTGCAACACGTTTTTCATGTGCTCCTTACGGAATCGTTCTGGATCACGAGCAATGACGAACACTGGGAATCGGACCCAGGTCGAGATGATAGCGTAATCGTATTGGTTATACTCATTCAATGGGCCCTTCTTGATTACCCAAACTGAAAAGTACAATTTAGCGAGTTTGATCCAGTAAAAGTCGATGAAACTCACATGGTTCTGCATCAGGTGAATTACTGCTGTGCAGCACAAACTGCCCAGTTTCTCCGGACTTGAAGCCGTAGCCGAGGGCGAACCTAGAACAGCATTCTGCTCCTTACTTTGGATGGGTCGGCCGGGGTTGTCAATGGTAGATGCTTACCTTGGTGATCCATTGGGATTGCCTTCTCTGTAGAACTTCAATGTTGTGAACGAGGGCGAGTAGGTATTGTTAGTAAGAGCACCGACTGAAATAAGGGGACTTTCTTCTCCATTACGGATTTTGGGTCAATTTTAGTGAAAAAATAGGCGTACAATGAAGAACTGTGCAAGCTTCCCGAATAACATGAGGCGAATTGATCACTTGGAACCATCGTCCCATCATCCGGGCGACGTCCACGTTTTCAGCTGCAGGATGAACTGCTCTAAACCAATTCTCATGTTTGTTCCTGTGAGTACACCGAAGTATAAAGGTAATGGGTCACCTAAAAACGTCCTTGGCCAAGTTCTTGGCCGAGTCTTTTGGGAGAATTCGGCTGATAGATGATCCGAGAAGAGTGTTTGCAGGTGGGATCATCTGAGGAAAGAGCTGTCCAACCTGTAACCAATGACTTTACCTAGATTAGCCAGCAAGGCCTTCTTGAAGGGTCATATTCCTTACCAAGTAGTTGAAGTTACTTAGGCCAGGGATTGTGTTAACTCCCGGAATAATTGGCACATCTTGTGGTCCAGGATATCCGGGTACTGGAATTGGTGCCAATCCGGGGATCTGGCCCGAAGTGATTCCTTGCAAATCAACACGATTCGCACTCGCTTCCGCAATAACAGCATTTAGATCATCGGTCTTAAAAGTAATTTTGAAACGCTGTAAGTTGATCCGCTAATGTAGAGTACCTGATAAAGGGCACTGGGTACTGGTGCTCTACGAACGCCCTTGTCTTCTTTCATATTAATTCCAAGCCGATTCAGGATAGACTCTGCTACATCCCCCAATTTGACGAGGTCGGGCTTCTTGCTCCCTCCAACTTCACTGGACTGAAATATGAATTAGAAATAGGCTAATCAGCAGTTGTTGGTTTTCCTCATTGGCTTCCAGTTCCTTAAGTCCCAACATTAACTTCTCAACCTTTACTGCATAAGAACAGATAATAACGAATAGATCGAATATGTGCCCAATGTAGTTTCGCGAAATGACGAATTCAGCAGTCGAGGGAATTTACCGTTCCATCTGGCCGTTCATACTTGTTCGGTAGTGAATTCAATAAAGATTTATTACCCATCAATGGTGTTCTATTTCGGAACGACCATGCTCCATTTCGACAAATACTTTCACTTGTACGTCGGAAAGGGATTTTCAACGAACAGTGACCGCTAACGGTTTTCTCTCAATAGGATTCGAACCTTCAGTCTTAGAGTAAGAGCGGAGTAATCAATAACTTGACAGTAAAAGTCTTCAAAACCCATCCATGATGTTGCTAGAGAAGGGAAACAATAATAGAGGCGAGAAAAGCCGCTTTATAAAAACGACTTCAAGTCTGACCACTCAAATAAGCTTTGCATATTAATATCAAGCAGTTAGTAGTATGAAAAGTAATCGAAAAAGTAGATTTTTCCGCTGCATACGGTGACGTTTGGAATTCCACAGCGTTTTACTCGAACAATGTTTAGTGAAAAGAACCTTGAACGTCTTACAAAGAGTATCTTCTATGTTTCTAAGTTCCAGTAACTCGAAAAATGGGCGTTTCCGTCGGAAAATTGATCACTAACCCCCACACAACTCGTAGTTTTCAACCAACAGGCCTACCTTTGTTAATGTGGCACCATTATTGAAGCTTTCGAAAGAGGGTGCATCTTGAACAGGTGCCGCCTTAATGATGACGACGTTGGCGACGACAATAGAGATGAGCGTGACGACGCGACGCATCTCGCTACTGACTCTGGAGCGCCGAGGATTCGGATCGACACAATTCGGCACCGGATTGGTGTGATGGTGGATCGAAGGGGGGCCGTACCTTCGGAGGAGGCCTACATTTTCCCCCCGGTTTTCACCCCGTCGCTGCATGCCCCATCAATACGGTTGACCTGAAAACGTGTTCGGTGAAGTTCAGTTCATCGGCAAATATCCCCACACAACGCTCTTCGTATTCCCCATCATGCACTGAAACGATGTCGTCAAAAACTGGCGGCATCACCTCATTCCACAAAGAAGGTTTGGAATCTTTATCGGGCGCGTGAAAGTTCGGTCCTGAGCTGGTGATAAATGAATGGCCCATGTCATTGATAATTGAATATTCTGCCGAAAACCCTTTTTGTGCAGGTAACCTGGGGAACTAGTAATTACTGACCGTAATCCAACCAGAACTTAAGGATCGCTTCCTCGCGTCGCATAAAATGCAAGTTTGGGACAATCTCATCGTGTTATAGAGTTATCCCCTAGTTATCTTCGACAGCTTATCCTGCTCGGGATCTAGCACTGCTACTTCTCGTTCCCGTACCTAGGAAAAAGAAGAGCCACGGTCCTGACTATGAAGTTTAGCTAACGTGAAGATTAAGAAGAGAATGAACCTTCTGAGCATGAACAAGGAGCTCTACCCCTCAGCGTGCTTCCAGAAGTGTAGCTTAATAGAGTGGGCGATTTGATTTGCCCATACGGACAGGACTATGGCTTTTCCAATCCACTCTTGCGGCTCATACCGAAGTTTGTGTTCCATCCTCAGTGTGGTAGTAGAATTGTATTTCTTTCTTGCAAGACAGCAGTATACTGAAGTGAGTAAGAAAATTGTTCATGGATAGTATGAAAAATGGTTATTCCAACTTTTGATACCTCTGGTCTGTGAAGATTACCATGACGAAGATAGGGAGATCAACTTGAATATCTGTTGGTCAGAATGGGATGCTCGCTGAGACAATGGAGTGACAGGGCTGAGAGCAAGAGCATTCGGCCAGGAAAAAGTTCGGTCACCAAAACGTGAAAACACTAAACTGCCATTTGTTTGATACACATTAACTGGTAGAATAAAAAGTTCGTTCATTACTGTAATCGATGGACACGTCCAATCAGAGTACAGCAAAGAATCACCCGAAAAACATCGACTCCTTTCCTGGCTATGAAAGGAGCCATCCCCTTTCCTCCACGTAACCCCACACAACCAACGACGTTTCCCATTCCCTCAATATCCGTGACCATTTTACGTTATTTTGGAAAGACATTTTGAACATCCGTGGGATTTGCCGTTACTATGAGAACCAGTTGAATGGTGGTCAAATAGATGTCGTCGTAAATCCCTACCGGGATGTGGTCCACTTGAGTGCTTTTGCCCCACAATTGTCCCCAGTCGCGATCCATTTGCCATCTTGACAGACAATCCCCCGAGCAATTCCCATGTGCTATACAATTTTAAAAAATATAACGAATTTATTATTAGCATTATTAAAATTATTACCAACAAGTGTCAGGTATGAATTAGAATTCTAACTTGAACCAGCAGTGATGAATAGGATTTTAACAAAATAGCACTTTAACATTGTCTAATAAATACCACGCTATGTACAACATAATGCACGCAACCTCGGCCAAAATACAGTAATTGAGTGTTCTGAGAAATATCAATCGATATTCAGTAGGACACTGAAGAAATAGGGGAGCTAATTAATACAACACGCTTTTTATGGAATGCATGAGGCGATATGACGACGTGGAGAGGATGTGATCGGGAGGACAACGAAGTCAGAAAGACGAATGGAACCCCTAAGGATCAGATCAAACGGGGATGGGAAGACGGAATGGAGGCTTTCAACTAATTCAACCCTGAATATTGAACAGTGACGGTGGGAACGTGCACAATGAGCTCTCCACTGGAGCGACGATATTCAGAATACGTGAGATACCGTTGACAAGGCCCTTCTTCTCCAGAATCGCGTTCACTTCACTTTCGTAAAGCTGAAAAAAAATCCATTAGGCTTCGAATTACTGACAACAGCCACAAGAAAAGTAGCGTACTAGTAATGGAGGTAAAAAAAAANAAAAAAAAACAAGAAAAATGGAAGAACCTATCGTCCTTTTTTGTCTAGGAATGTTTATTAACAGTTTTGTGAACCATAGATCCTTTAGCTTTTTCATCCCCAGCTTTGAAGGAGCAAGAAAAACTCGTCAACAAAGGTCTCGAGTCCAGGCCCTTAACCAGCCAAGGGATCCATTCCTTTGGGACAGCTGATTGGTTCGGAAGTTTGTGGGAGGGAAAAACATCCCTCTCCAAACTAGCGCCCCTAGTAATTTTTGTTCACTTGACAGTTTCATTTTGATAAATGTCACATCCCCTTTTAGTGCTTTTTTCGCTGAGCGCAACTATCCCCGCAACTTCTACTGATTGTCTATTTGATTGCAAGTTTTTTGTCTTGAGCGAAACCTAATGACCCTGTTGACCAAACCACGTGGCCTATTTCACTACGACTAATACTGATTAGTTCCTTTGTGTGCCCTAGAATGTACAAAAGAAACGGTCGCATTGCACTGCCTAAGTCACGGCAAGGTTACCACTACACAATGGTCTGCTACCTTGATCTTCTCCGTCAAGGTTGTACTCGTTGAACAGTTCACAATAAGTAGTAATGGGGACCGGACCAAGTTTTATGGGGCACTTGGTTTACGCTGCCCTACAGGAAACTCCAGGACAACTCTAACACGCCATATTCTCTGTAAACATTCAGTGATACTGAAGAAGAAGATTTTCTACCCGCTCCTACTCCATCAAGTGCTGATCGGACCCTATTCAAATTCATTTTTCAAGCTTAAGTGTTAATAGTGTTACGGTAAATAGTTCAGTAAAAATGGATGGAGTCCAAACCTAATGACTCACCTGCCTATACATAATTGGATCACGAGCAAACACGTAGAGAGGGAAGTTACAGTTCGTCGACATGATTATGTACTCGTACTCGTTGTTTGCATTCAATGGTCCAACATGGAGTACGTGCACTGAAACAAGTCCGATATGGGGTGGTGATTATCGTCGAACAATCCGATGATGATGGGGTTGTGATTGAGTCATGCATGACTGCAACTAGTTCCATGGTCACTCATGTCTGTACGCCCGTTCAATTTGACCCACATCAATGAAACCAGATTACTTTCGAGTAGCCAGTGTATGAAAGAGCAAAGTCAACAATTCGTTATGGCCCCGCAACTCGGCAAATGCATACAACCCACATCACGCGGGGATACAAATTCCCTCCAGATTTTGCCCAGGTGGACCACCTACGGGCGTGACTGACCAATTTGAATCGCTCGTTGTAAAAAACCAGTAAGAAGGACCCTCTTACCATTTACATCATCTTGATTCGATGTAGTACGGTAGATGAGCTCTCCAGGTGATCTAATCATTGCGTAGCCAGAGCTGATTTTTGGCTTTCCATAGGGAGTTCCATCAGTTGTGTATTCGAAAATCTCAAAAATGGATCCAGGTCCTGAAAAGAATTTCCTGTAATTCAAGATTCAAAGGTGTCTCTGAAAAGCGCACCTCCATTGTTGACATCATTCAACTTCTTATATGCTACCATACTACATTGTCCTGACGAGAAGGGAGGACTGTAGACAACCTGAGAATGAGCAAGTTTAGGAACATGAAAGTTTTGGAAATGGATAGGTAAGACGGTAACTGGTAGAGAAGATAGGTAAGACGAGCTGTTTGTCAATCACATCATTACGTTCAAACAATACAAAGTAGTGAATAGCCTTGGATGAATCGAAAACAGTGTTTTGGAGGTCAATTCATGCGGTAGGCAGAAAGAAAAGCAAATCATCGATTAAAATCTCATAAAGCAATAAACCGGGTCATGATGTGATGACTGACCTGATACCATTGACCCATAAAGGAGTACATGTCGAAGGCAACGGGTTCCGGTTTCTGGGTGCAAAGTGGTGAGGACGGTTGAATGATGAAATTTTGCACCATTTCCAGGTTCTCAGTGATGGCTGCTGACTGAGCCGGAGTTAGAACTATGCTGCCGTTGCTCGACAGAGGGGCAAGCAGGTCTCCCATGCCCTCAGTCTTAGTGTCGTTGGGCTGAAATAAACTCTATTCTTATGAGAAGCACTAACTTCGATAGCTGGACTACCAACCTGTAAGCTGCCTGATGTTAGAGCCTTGTAGAAAAGGTTGGAGATCATGTTCTTAGCTGGAAGTGGGCTGTTTTCTCCTCCAATCAGATTGGATACGGCTTTACCGAGAGCATTCTTCTCCTAAACAGGTACTCTAGAGGTGTAGTACCTCTTACAAGACTTAATCACTCACATCAATAGATGACTTTCCATCTGCTTCACCAGTCTTAGCCTCGGCGAGCTTCTTCTGCCCCATACCGATCAATTTAATAATGGTACCAATAAGACCACCAGACGGGGTAGTGGCTTCTTTGCGAATTTCTTCGAACTGAAAGCAAATTTTGTTAACTTGCCCCTGTTCGGAAGTAATCAAGTCGAGGTACCTCATCCTCGAAACTGTCCGATTTGGAGTCGTCATCATGGGATGAGGCTACAGCAGAAACGGATTGCGGTGCACGTCTGATGTCGGCTGGGAGGAATCCACCTTCCGGGATCTTTAACACATGTGCATAGAGTCAAAAGGGTAACAACATCGAATATTCAGGTATACCTCGGGATCAGAAGGAACTACTGGGAGATTGGGAGTTCCTCCAATAACACCGGACTCCCGGCTAACGTAAGTCTCTGGCTCAGCGATGGGCGCTTTGGGAAGTTTCGGGAATACCTAAAAAGCTACGTGTAAAGCATATGTAATCATTACTTACTGCAGAATAATGCCTAATACCTTTGGGATGCCCATAATGGAACTTTTAGGTTCTTCGCCTGAACCCTCGACTTCACTTGAGAGGACTTTCTAGAATAAAAGTTATGTTTAAAGCAAGTTCCACTGAATGGTACCAATGCTCCTACTCGTAACTTCTTTTTTTAGACTATTTTGTGAATATTTACGAGTGATATCTAAAGAATCGCTCCACATGTGTCCATGGAATGTGGCCTAGTTTCGAATTGAAATGCGAATCCGACATGTAATTAGATTAAACGATTCTCAATTCTATCATCAATCAAGAAAACCACATCTGGATCGTTATGACATCTCGGTCAAGCGATTTCGTTTTCACGACGATTGGTTCACTGATTAGCGAATGGTGAAGTTACTGTTTGAGGAGCATGGCTTATTCTATTTCTTGGAAAAAAAATACAAAAAAAGCGAAAAAAACTATTGTTGACGAACCTCTGGAGCTCTGCGCATGGTTGAGCCGAAAGTTGTTACAGGTTTGTTATTGTTCAATAAAGAGAAACCTGAGCCGAATCCAGGAGGTAACGCCTGACCGCTAGCTGGTTCAGGAGCAGTGAAGAACTGCTCAAGTGTACGCTCGAGAGTCGAGGGCACATGAACAGGCTTACTGCCAGCTGCCGGCTCAGACGGAGCGCCAATTTCATAAGTTTTTTCGGGGAACAGACCACCTGGGCGAGGTCCTAGTAATGAGTCGACCAGTTCACGAGCGTGCCCGTCGAGCTCAAAAAAGGAAGAGTACTCAGGTGGTACAGTTGGTTTCGCAGCATATCGAGGCGCTTGGGGTAAGGCGAATACGTCATGCTGACCGACGGCCGACGAGATGACCACGGCAACGACCAACACACACAACCACTGCATATCCGACTGATCCGCAGCGCTACTGGACACTTCTAAGAGAACACGTTGACGGAGCTGATCGACACAGAGACTGAATGCCCTTTATGACACGATTTATTGCGAGATACACAGAGACACAAACAGAGATATTATGTGGTTAGCGGTAGGGGTGGGGGAGGCTGTGGCGACGGCGGTAACACAGCGACGGAGGGCGCCGTCGATGGGTGGGCCTGAGTGCGGCGACCAGCGCGGCGACGGATGGTGGCGATGACGGCGATGGTAAGGCGAAACGAGGTCAGTGAATCGTGGTAGTCGAGGCGAATCAGTGACCTTCAGTGCCGACGAGACGCTCGAGTGTCTTCTTTGGATCACGAAGTAAATCCGCCAACGGCATGCCGGACATGGCTGGCTCGGCGGTTCCGTTGCGGCTACGTTCGGCCAGCTCCTGGTTCTTCAGAACCCTGAAACGGCGAAATTTGGGTGATTACGATTAAGGACACTTCTTTGAAAAAACATTTCACTAATTGACCTAGTTGACCTTCATGCCGATCGTCAATGAAAGGGAAATTTGTCATTTGTACTACCACTACCTACTTACATTGACACACTCCGCATAGAAGGGACCACCCAGGTATGAACGGAATACGCCACCTCGCAGCTTCACCTAATCATGCAAAGGTCTTATGTCGTTTCACGAGAAGAAATTCAAAACTCGGGTTTCAGCTTTTCAGCTTTCAGCTATCAATAGACATGCTTGACTGAGTCTCGTTGTCCCCCTAGGTAGAATTTTATCTCAAAGATGTTGCACGGAAGTAATAAATGAACTACTGTCTTTGTTATACACATTTGGACTGAAGAATTCGATAGTTCCCTCTTCCTTAAGAAAGACTTAAATGATTGGTTTTCGTGGTAAATACGCCTTAACTTGTGACTAGGCCAACGATCTTTCTACCCAGCTATATGGACATGGTCGTAAGCAGATAGTTTATTTAGTCTTACTTATTCTTCCAGAAAAAATTGGCTTGCGCATTATCCCAAGATTGTTAGCCCCAGTATGAGAACTAGAAGTCCCTTTTACTGCAAAAGGCCGAAGTAAACTTTTAGTTTTAAAAGCTAGACGTATGGCGCATCCCTTGGTAGCATTCAGCAGGTTTCCCAGAGTTTTACCCGATTATTTGAGTTCGAAAAGAGTTTGTAGAAACTCCCAATTACTCACCGCCTGGCAAACACTTCCTTCTCTGATGGCCATTCGCAGTCTGGCCCTTGATAGATAGGACGAGGGCTGTTCCAGAACACTCGACCACCGAAACCTTTGTCCTCCATGAACGCCAGAACATCTTTGTTGTACTTCTGCAAAATGTCGTAATAAATACCTTTCCATCAGATTGTTGTTTATGAAGAACCCTAACTGATAAACCATTATCCCTTTCTTCAGGATTATCAATCTTTCATTATGGCGTTTGAACAGAAAGATATCAGACACTGATTGCGCCCTCCGTGTTCTCTATTAGTGTATAGATATCATCCGTTTTCTTCGTTGGTGGTCTTATGGTGGCTATGATAACGAATCGGGACGGGGTTACGTAAGGCTGATTTTCACAGTTTGACCCAGATTTTTTCTGTCGCGCGCTCGTTTCCAAGCTCGTTCTGGGTGCGATGTTGCGTAAGGCGGCACCTTGTGTTACAAGATCCGAGAATTGCAGGCCCGAGCTTCGGGTCAGCGCGGTCATCGCTCGATTGGGAACCCAGTCTGGCGCTTACGATAAGATCGACATCTCCCTGTACCATGTGTCTAATAAACTATTACACCTTGTCTATTCCTCGCCTTGAACATCGACATCAGAACATTGAACACCTTAGGGAAATTCGAAACTGAATGGATGGAAAATGACCTGGAAGAAAGTATGAGGGTCCCGAGCGTAGACGGCAAGGGACAGCCTGTTGGCGTCTGTCACGACGATGTACTGAATAGGTTCGTCTGCTTTACCGGTTTTGTTGTGGAACGAAGGACCAGCCGCGATGATGTAAACTGAACACAACTTACATTCCTCAATTACTTATAAGTTACTATGGAATGCTCACACTGTCTTGGATAGAAATACTCCTCCGTGTACATCCAGTACTGTCCAGGTCCAACTTTGTTCATATCTCGTTTATAGGTCTCAATTGGCCCTGTTTTTGAAACCGTTCTGTACGCTTCCTCCATTGAAAAACCGTCTTCACCCATTATGGGATTCGGCGAAACTGTAAAAGGTAAGTAACGCGTGAGTATTGGGGAAAAGATCAATTTCCCAGACTCCAATATCTATCAAAGAAACTGGGACAAGTCAAACTCACAGTATGCTACAGGGCAGTACATCTGGGTTCGGAATACGTCGAAATTTATAGCTGCTTTGTACATCTAAACGAAAAGTTTCAACTTTCTTACTCACTCAAAAGGAAGTAGTAACCTTTCAGACACATGAAACTGCGTAACTTTACTACGTGTAAAGTGACCGGTAAACAAACATTTCGATATTTGCTAACCTGGAACCACCGTCCCATTATCAAGTCCGACGGTACACTTATAGTGTCAACACTAGTTTCCAGCATTCGGCCGAGACCACCTATGATGCCCGTGATCGTATTGATGTCCATCTGAATAAAAGTACCGTAACCCTTCAAAAATTGTCTTTTTACATCAACAAAATCAAATCACGCTCCGCTTCAATGACTCAAGTAGAATGGGATAGCGAGCCACAGCATTCCTACTGGTCAAAAATTCAGAAGCAGAAATACCCGAACCTATGGAGATTTTTTGAGAAAATAGTTACCTTACTTCTTCTAGAGGACTTTGTACAAGTTGTTAAGGGAGTAAATACTACTTGCAAAACAACTACTCATTGATTACTCGTTTTAAACTTGACCAACAATGCTAAAAGGCGGCATCATTCATCACAAACACCACGCATACCCCCTAACATATACTATTAAAAGCAGTTAAAAGTAACCGTAACGCACCCTATCAAAGGAAATATATTATGATTTTTAATCGCCTGAATATACGCACGATATTCCTTGAGTCCAGGCGTAAACTATGAGAGTTAAAAAATGTTCTCGATGTCTCCCAAACTACCCAGCTACTACATTACTACAAGCAAGAATCACTAGAAGGCTCACTTTGTCAAAGCCTTTTTGGCGGTAACTAAGTCAATTTTACGAAATTATCCAAAAAACTGTTGACTTTCTTGGGGCCAACACTTCTATGAGGAGCTCAAGGGTATAGGGCACTATGCATGCGGTAATTGCTGACAACCTATTGAACTCAACAGTGATGTTATCTATCGCTATCGTGGGTAGGATGAGATACTCGTAATACTTACCGTTTTCTCACCGATAGCCAGTATCGATGGTATGACGAGGACGCCAAAAGGGATGAGGGTGTTCCTGAGCATGACTGCGCGATGACTGCCCGACTGTATGACCTTCGCGCCTATTGCGGTTGAGGCGGCCGGTGGCGGCGGTGACGGTTAGACCACCGAAAACCCTGATTCGGCCATCATCAAGTACACATAACAACCGGTCTCGTAGGTCAAGGTATCTCGGCAATGGTTTTTTATTTACTGCGGCCGGGTTCAGTGTCCTCATTACCTGCTGTGCCTTATTACTCGAGTAACAAACGGTTTTCGACGTCGCCGAGGCCGAGGACACAACACTTTACATTTAAGTTTTTTATTATTAAGTAATTATTCAATAACAATTATTCATCAGCAATCTAATGTACAGCATAGCAACAGTGGAATGTTTGGAGGTCGTCACTGAGTGATGGCAGAAATGGTGACCGGTAGTGTTTACTTGCCGAACACTTCGAATGTACTGTCAGCATATTGACAGCTAGAATAGCCGGACGGTTGTAGGAGGTTGAAGGCACGGATGAAGCCATTGATGAAGCCTTGGTCTTCTAACCAGCGCAGTACCTGTAAGAATTTAATTCGAGCCATCTTTATCTTCCATCTCTTAGTACTTTGCTGCGAAAATTATTGGCTATTACTCCAGTAGCTCCTATAAGTGCCTACAGCTACAGTCGAAAAAGTTCAAGAAGATAAGTAAGTCTTGAAAGCAGTAATTAGTTCATTGAAGACATATTATTTGGAACCACTCTCGGTTCTCTCCCGTCTATCTGACTAACCACCTAGATTTCCGTCAAGGTCAATTAAAATCGGACTCCACACGGTATATGCCCCTTCTTCAAAACGGCCTCTTAGTTTTGTAGAGTTACTTTGTCAAAAAAAATTTGCAGTACAAACCTCGGTTTGGTACTTGGATTTGAATGTGTCAGGATCCCGTACCAGGACCGTCACTGGATACCGTACCCAGTTCGACACGATAGCGTACTCGTATTGTGGATTACCGAATGGATCCTTTCCTTCGGGACCAAGCTTGTATATCCAGACTGGAATTGCCTTTCATCACATCCTTACTTTAAACGAACCAATCAATATGATATGTTATTACATGGTTGAGCATCACTGCTCTCGCTGGTGTGAAGTTGGAGCATAGCGTCTTTGCTTCCACCACGGAAGGCATAACCGATAGAGTATCTGAAAGTTGTATTTGAAAAATCGGACCACTGAATTCTCCGAAAATACTTTTCTGAACTGGTTTATACGAATATTTTCGGAATAATGCAGGTAATTACCTCACAGGACCGAATTCAGATCCCTCCCTGTAGATCTTGAGGGCAGTGAAAGTGGCGGTCTTGTCGTTCTTTGTGAGTCCTCCATCTGAAGTGGAAATGACTATATCTTGTTTATTAGATAGGATTCCCTCTATTAACTCTTTTATGAGTAAAAGTGGGAGGCTAGTCCTTAGGCTAGACTTTAAAGGGTTTTAAAGTCCGGGATCTTCGAGAATTTCTAGAGAGTGTGGAGTGTGAGACGCGAAGGGCCTCTGATTCCTTAGGCTCTTACTCTTACGCAATAACTATTTGGAAGAGATAAACTGATGCAAAGTGGAAATGAAAAGATTCAAAAGCTAAAAAGTTACTTATTCACGAGAATTACTTACAGTGGTGCACGACACATCGTTGTTCAGTAGCACGTGGTGAGTTGATTCCTTCGAACCACCGTCCCATGAATTTGCTGAGATCGAAATTAGTAGGGGTCTCAGGCAGGAGAGCATCAGTGACATTATCAGCCAAAATCTGGAGCTGCTCAGGTGGCAGCATATCGGCCAAAGTGGTTCCATTGGACAAACGTCGAGTGATCGATCCTGAAATCCGATAGTAAAGCATCCCTTCTCAGGGGGTCTTTTCCTCAATTTCCTTCTTGCAAAATAATTGTTTGATAGCGATCTATTACGCATGTCCGGCTGGTTACGTTAGCACGTGCGGGGTAGCGCGATTGACCTGAATGTGACGATGCGCCACTAACACACTTCCATATCAGTGGGTCGCAATCGGAAAGTTTGATACAAAACATCTAATTAGCGGTCTTACAAAGGAAAACGCCGAGATATCAAAAGGCTATCCTTTAAAAAAATTTGAAAATATCCCTAATGACCAACCGATAAGGTTGACGACATCAATCTGGCCCTGAGCATTCCTGGGAATACCTCCCGGTAGCAGGGGAATTCCTGGAATCCTTGGCAATCCAGCGTGAGTAGGAGTGTTACCGCCGCCTGAATAACCAATGGATGATTTCGATAAATGAAATTAAAACTGCAAATAGAATTATGTTGAGAGCCCATCAAGTCAAAACTCACCTCCACCGAGGAACGATGAAATGCCGGAAAGGGCACGTTGAGCTGTCGATGGTTGCCGACGGATGTTCGATCCACGGACATGATTCGTAACACCATTATCGTCGACTGATTGGGAAACGACTGGACCATCTTGTGATGAAGCTGATGCAGCTGCTGCTGATGCATGCTTAGATGGAGTGCCAAGCAGGGATGGCAGCGATTGTGAAAGGGCATCTGATACACCAGCTGAAAAAAATGGCCTCATATACAGTAAAACAGGAAGACTGAGTGGAGCGGAAACATATTATTACTTAAAACTTACTCTCTTTTACTAGCTTGCGAATAGAGTTTGACAATAATCCGATCAGGCCATTCTCTCCAGGCTTGTCAGCTGGGAGGGGAACTGGGGCACCAGCTCCATCATAAGGACCAGGATTTCGAGCTTCGTTTACAAGCTGACTAATTTGGTCTTGGAACTTGGGGTTTGCTTGTGCCAGTATATCTACAATAATACATCATTAACCATTAATTCCTGCTGAATACTGTAATAGAAGAGTACTCGCCTGTTTGAGTAGGAGCAGCATGAGCCACAGCGTTACCTGTGAGGTGCTCAGCGGGCAGCCCTTGCACAGGAATCCCAGCAGCTCGAAGCTCCTAAAATCCCATTGGACCATGTAGCTGTTATTAGATCCCAATAGTTAGGTTATTTACCTGAACGGCACCTGCAAATCCGTTCGGATGATTTCCAGTAAGCCCTGGTATTCCGAACGAATCGAGTCCAAAGAACTTGATTAACTGGTTTTGGACGTCAGGAGGGATTGTGACTGGAGGTGGTGGGGGCACGCTGGCGCCTGTTCGTGGTACAAACTGCTGGCTACCAGGTGGAGCAGTTTGTTGATAGACTGGTTGCTGTTGTGCCGCTGGAGGTGATGGAGGTAACGGCTGAAAATACGTTTTGAAGAGGAGTTTTCTAGAGGAAGAGAAGCCTCAATAAATAGCAGAGTACGGACCGGCTGTGCTACAGATGTTGCAGCTGGGGCAGCATTCGAAGAAGCCGGTGGCACCATGGGCGCCTGGACAGCTCGCGGAGCAGAAACCTACAGAGAACCTAGAGTTTATTCAGTTGTTGCCATTATGCTGTATGTAGTTACAAACCTCTGAAAGGAATCTGGGCTTGCTGGACATTGGCGGAAGTCGGATAATAACAGGTTGAGTGGGATCATCTTGTGCAAGTGCTTGTGTGGCGGCGGCCAACAGGCCGACGACGGTGGTGAAAATCAGAGCTGTCATCGGGACGCGACTGATGCAGCTGCTGCTTTGGTAGTGGTCTGTCTATAGCAGGAATGTGAATCTCCGAAGCGTTGAGGGTGGGATCGGGAGGCGAACGACAACTGGGCGGGTCAAGGCCCGGCGCCCGAACCCACCGAACCGGCCTCTGACCTACTTCGCTCGCCCTTTCCGAAATAGCACCCCCCTCTGGACAACGATATTCAGGTCAGACAACGGACACATCCGATGATGCAACGTATTTGCTTATCTCGTTGTGGATCTTGACGATATTTTCGCCTGTGATCAGTAAATGCGATCACACGAGGGCAAAGAGAATCTTCATGTTCGGGCCTCAGACTGCTGGAAAAACCAGGGAATCGCAAAAAACGCTCGACAAAGCAGTAGCAGCTTTATGCCATGTAGTTGTGACGCTATATTCCATAAAATTATACAGCACCTTAACTCCACAGTCGTTGACAGGGCTCAAACTAGTGAAGCACAAAACTATTTTAGAAAACCTTGCAGTATACGGTAGACTGCTTTCTCAAGTAGTGGTTGGTATAAAAAGAAACAAACGCACTAATTCAATGCATGTAATAATGAGGCTAAATTTCAGGCAATAGGGCTGCCTTTATAGTGAGGATGATATCCATAGGGAGCTAGTACTGGCACGTGGACTTTTTGCAAAATTCTCCGACCCCTAAACCCTAGAACTCTCAATTGATGTCGGTCGTAGCCGCGAGCCTTTTTCCCTTTACAGCCCTTTATTGAGGACACCTCGAAGTTTTTGCTGTTTCAAGTTGGTATCGAAAGTGCGATGCGCGAAAACCTCGTTCTACTTCTCACCAGTTAATAGACATGAGCATGAACATAAAATGTAGTTTGACCTTAATTTCTTGAATCTAATCAAAATTATCGGATTACGTATGTTTGCCGTGATTAGAACCTCCTGATCACATTTATGGATACTTCTTAATTACCATTTATTCACTGGTATGGATTGATAAGGTTGATCAAGTGCAGATCCAAGGGTCTGGAAACCGAATCTCGTATCGGTACTTCCTATTGGTAACAGATTTTGCTTAGAAGTACTGATTCTTGCCCTCGGCCGGACTGCAATTCATTGAATGGTCAGCTACACATTCAAACGTAACCACGATTTTGAACGGAAGCTGAGTGCACGGTTGAAACGGGCAGCGAAAATTCTGAGTGTAAGAGTGCGCAACCGAGCGAAGTTAAAAAAAACTCTGCTTCCGCCTCCATGGTTGTTTTCAATTACATAATTTCCCAACTAGTATGAGTACTTTTTTATTCATACAGTAGCTTTCCTCTACTGCTATCCTTGGTTCCCTTGACTACCACACTCCACTACAGCTTGGTAAAATACAAAAAAAGCACCCTAGTACCTTTCCGGAATTTACAGGGGATTTCTATGCGCTGTGATGTTGACAGCCCCGATGATACCCAGCTGGACTCTTCACTATGCTCACACTGAAGAGTTGAGCAGAACAGTGGCGCGTCATCTCAGAGCTAGAGAAATAATAAAGTAAGTAATAAAATCTGATAAAAAGTGATGTACAACAAAAACCTGGGGAAATGAAGCAGTTTTTGCTACGGGTAAAACATTAGAAGGAAGAAGAGTGTGAAAAAGATTCATTAGTCTTGGACAAGCGGATTATGTCGAATCAGACGAAGTTCGCCCGCAAAAAAAAACCTGGAACCGGCTTTGCTTGACCCCACGGCCCCTGAAATCTAAGAAAACCCCATAAGAATGTTGAACTATCAGATCTCGCATGTCCAGTAATCTGGTATCCAGTTTAAATCCCTTCAATCAGAGAAACTTAATCAGTTATGTGCCTTAAGCAGGACCGAACTTTGAAATATTTCTGGACGATAGAGATTTTCCCAGCTGAGCTAAAATCTTGGCAGGCTCGCTTAGTTCCCTTCAAAAAAAAACTATCTGACTGAAAAGCATTTAATGAATGCGGAATAAGTTTCACATAGCCAAATACGCACGCTCATTTTACGGATGAAAACTTGATCGGTTGGAAAGGAATGGGCAACCCTTCGAAAGAAGTCATTCCGTATGGACACGTCATCTCCTGGTATCTGAAGCGCTATGAACATCAGGATACCGTCATATGTCACACGTCCTCTTGGACACTTTTTTTTGTTCAGTTCAGCTATCTATTCTCTGGATATTCTGATTCATACCAAGTCTGGCCTATTTTCATCCGGAACCCCTTCTTAATAAAATTTCCTTTTAGGGAAAAAACAGTAAAGATCTCTTCCAACCTCATTCCGAATGGCTCTACCCTTCGATTACCTTACAATTTGTTATGTCTTACAGTAACCGTCTCATTTTTTCATCCTTTTACAGTACACAATATTAAGTGACCTTGCACGAAAAACTTGGATAGGCCGATAAAATCCAATCTAAGCTCTCGAGTTGTCAAGGGGATTTCATGGTACCACTTCCTCTACAGCTTCCTCTCACCGGCCGAGACAACCAGGAATAGGAAGAGGAACGAAACAGCTCCTTACAGACGTCAATTTTTTGCGTTGGCCGAAAATAGAGATTACTTTCGCTAGACTACTTTTTTATGACTTCACTACAAAAAACTGCGACCTTAACCCCAAATGAAACCGTACTCTTGCACCCATGAATTGATACGTCCGTGAATTAGTGCTGATTTTTTCTGTGATCAAGACTCTGTAAAACAAATTCTTTGGAAATATATCAAAAGCAATCATTTCCCTAGGAAGCATCAAGGCAGATCTCAGCCATATCCATTCAGTGCTTGTTTATTTGTTTCAATCCAATCGCCTCATGTGCAGGGTAATACTTACCGACGCGCTCCGCAATCACTACAGTATCCGGATCCATGGCGCAATCCAAATTAGAACATCTGCATGTTGCTGCAATTTAGAAGCAAGGTAATTTTAGCAATACTCAACCCACCACAATCAACCAGTCAATTGAATCCAACCGCATAAGTCCATAATAGCAAGCGACCACGGTTTTCTGTGCGCATAAGAATTGCAAACTCCAAAAATTTTCATTGACAGTCCGAAAAACAGCGTGTATGCGTGAAAATAGAGGAGACATTAGCAGGTGGCCATCTAAATGTCAGCTTAATTTAAGGAAAATAAAACCACTGTGATGTGGGCGTGACTTGAACGGTGCTCAGCCTATCCGTTCGAATGCAACGTAAACCAACAACAACTGGTGCAAGCCAAGGGGGTTTTTCACTAGCTTTGCTAGAAAAGAAGAGATTTGTGCACGTATTCTGTAACAAAAATCATCTTATTAACGTTAGTATGCATGAGATGACATTGATCGGGGAAGGCTAACATATAATACACCGGTGAACGAAGCTCACGCCCCTACACTCAACACACAGGAAAGCAAGTGGCGGTCGGGATATTCGACGAAGAATTAATCTGGGAAATTCACACGAACATACAATAATATTACAGGTAAAGACTTTGTTTTGGAACGAACTCAGAATGAGAGAAATCAAAACACGAAAACTCTGTACAGCTCAGTTTAGATAAACCAAAACGCCACTATTCGACAAGAATATGGGATGATATCGACAATTCGGACAACACCGAATACGATGACAATTTACAATCATAAATCAAATAGACGAATGAGAAAATTATATTAGGCATAAATATGAACACGTTTTAGAGCTGAAGATGAACCGTAGATTGCTCCGTAGTACCGTTGATGTTTTTCTCTTCAAATTTTGCCGTTTTGTTAAGACTCATTCGGAAATCAGTTATGAATGACAATCGCCTTTTCAGCTGCATGTGATCCACGGGCTCCACGGGACTTATTCATGTGGTCGAGCCCAAGATAAGGAGACGTTACTAACGCTAAAAATATACCCATACATCACGATATAACTAGACATGTTCATAAAGCTTTTAAGCGTAAACATCAAAATGAAATGATTTGGGATATAACAAATGAACAAGGAGTACTATCAGGAAAATTGCCCCATGCCCAGTCTATACCTTCGACTATACTCTGACCGTAAAGCACCAAGAGTCAACAGAAACCGATGTCAAAAGTAGTGTTGTACAAAAACTTTCAAATAAAACTTACAGGCAACGTGGGCGTGACCCAGCTCTGCGAGGTTCACCCTTCCGTTTGACGTCATGTCGAGATACCGTACCACTCGAGAAGATGATATCAGTGCAAACTTGTACTTCTCGTACTCCTTGTCAGGAATGTCAAGACGTTGCTGAATGCGCTCCCGGACGCTTGACAACAACTCATCATTTGACACCTAAATATGCCAAATATAAAACTGACACCACAAAAACTATTTCATCAAGGACATGCTGCTAATCATGCTGCTGAAAGTCTACCACAAATAACAGACCTTCAGGAAGAACGGGACACCGAACATTCGACCAGGATCCTTGTCAAAATGTGCTATGGGGACGAGGTATTCATTACTTCTAACGACCAGTTGATCTTGTGGGACTTCTTCAACACGACCCTGAACTCTAACACTTTGTAAGGGTGAAAATGATAAACGCAGAAATCGCTACATGATTTAAACACAGCAAAAACACGCATAAACACTACCTCTAGTAACTATAATGTAAATTTTAGAGACATACCATATACATCGATGGGGTCATGGTTTTCTGGAACACTTCCATAACCGATGTTTCCTCCTTGAAAATCATGTACGCCCTCATACTCTGGCTACTTTGACCGACGTAGACCAGTCTGAAGTGGATAATCGATAAAAATTCGGGCTACGAAAGAATATATTGCTGCATTTTTCCGAAAGCCTTCACCATGCTCCGTACACCACCTCAAATTGATCCGCTCGTTACCAATTTCAAGCTCTGAAACCGGTAGATCCCAATACCAATTCTTCCCTACCCGGAGCAGCCATGCGTATTTAACACGAATCGCTTCACTGTTCAAAACTAGTACTATGCTCTTAGACCGGAGAATGAAGCAGATTTTTGGAACTCGACAAATGCAATACAATGAAAAAAAAAACGAAAAAAGGAGCTCGTCAAGAAAACACTACTCACCTGAGCTTTCCTGTGCCATTTGGAGCGAATTTAAACTCGCGCCGCGCTTCTTCAAGAATGTCCCGCACAGTGCCAGTTTTCTCTGGGAAGATGGTTATTTCCTAAACACAAACAGTTGCATGGCTCTCCGGACGCTTTTCAATGTTTAGCCATTCCCTACCGTGATTGCCATTTTTTCATCCATCATTTGGATTTTCATTTGCCGCTTCCTTTCCATATCGGCTATCGGGATCGGCATCTTTGTGTACACGACACGGTATCTCAAAATTATGAATTCATTCTGAATTTTTAGACCTTCATAAGCCTCAGAGGCGAGAAACGTTTTGTTTGGAAAGAGAAAGTCCTCCCTCTGCTGACCATTGTTTCAAAAAAGAAATTGGAAAGACAAAGGAAGGAACGGATTCATACCGTTTGTTGCGTCTAGGATCGTGAAGCTGTGCCCCAGCCAACCCCAATAGGCCGTTCACACGCAATACCTGGAAATAGTATGTATTATTACAGAGAAAAGGTTAAAAAATTCCACAAACAAAGATAATTTTACACAAATGTTTCACCTTGCACTGGGCATCGGTGAGGAATTGAGTGGCACGATCGTTAAACGGTGATACACGCCACAAAAGAATTTTTGCCGGATCGTAATTGATTTCTTTACCAATATAGTCCACTAACTGCCGCATGGTCCAATTCTGTAAATTGATATCATAAACGAAATAACCAGTTGTCCGAAGAAGAATGTATTGCGTTAAACCATGGCCATTGTTTCGTCAAGTTTTCAATTTCGAGCAAAACTGCTAACAGGATGCTACTTCCTGCCCATACAAAACGTTCTAATAAAATTTTTAGTAAAACTAACCAGTCCAATAGTTCCTGTAATTGGTGGGTCAACCTCAGCATGACTGGAGACAAACGAGTCATTGTTGGCGATTGCTTCAATGTCGATAGTATTGTACAGGGTGTCCAAGTGTAGCTTGGCATTATTGGTGTCACTGGTGCGATCCTGACGTTCAGCAATCAACAATCCTCCGTCGCTCACTTCAACCACGGTATTATCAGCACAAAGCGGTTTGCCCAGGCTTTCAATCAAGCGGATGCGATCAGGAGCAACTTCCTGTAAAGTATGTCGTTGATTACTGCATTACGGAAAGTTGTTATATAAAGGACAACAGAAGAAACCTCATAAAAGCGAAGCGGTGTGCCTTCCGGTAAACCAATAAGCTTCAAGCATTCGCTAGTATAAGCAGACATGCACTGGCGATATGCGACTATGAAGTGCCCGACGTATCGCAGAGAGCGTGACTCCTCATCGTAGTACTTCAGGAACATCAACATCTCCGCTAAAAGAAAATGACGTCTTTGACGAAATGAGGCAGTTATTATCAGTAATCTGTGCAGGACGCTATATGCTACTTTGGCCTACTTAATGCTTAGCCCTTATCTCACTCAAATTATGAAATACTAAACTACCAAGGTCATGAAAGCAACTCAAAACTAAATCAAAAAAAAAAACATTTTGAAAAGGCGAACTCACAGTTCTCATTGTAACTCCTCAACGAGTGTGATGCTGTGGTTTCTATGTACAGTAAATTGCGATCATTCTCCAAAACTGCCTCTAGCGTTTTCTCTTGCGTTTCTTCAGAATGCGGAATCTGGAACAAAATTTTTTTAGAATCCCTCAACGAACTCTCACTAGGTCTCACCAGTGATGTTGGGCGCAAACGAGGTAACGCCGACATAATGCTACCCTCATCCTTATAGGTCGTCTCCTCGAACTTCCAAATCCTGAACATTTCACGAGCAGGGATCTGAAAACAAGTTGTATGACTCGACATGAAAATATGCTGTTTTGCTTACTCGCGACATGAAAAATTGGATACCGTACCTCATGCTCGGATTCACCGGTAAAAAGCTTGCTTTTCACATAGTCGTAGAGCTGAGGAATCGTCATATTCTTCTCAATTTTCTCGCGCGGCAAACCGGTATCGTCCAATAGTTTCGGATCAACTAGATCGAATCCATTATAGCTGGCGAGGTGCTCATCGGTGACCATCTGAAGACGCTGCTCATAAAAAATATAGATCGAAAGGGATCAACCACAAATACTTTAAAAGCCATTTCATAAGAATAGATCACATTCATCTCTTCTTAATATAATACACTGTAGAATCAAAGGCCCTCTATTCCTTAACCAAAATGGATGAAATCCTGGCAGTCAAGCTGTAGGCGAAGAAATCCTATTACGAATAGAAACAATGTACTCACGACGATCTCGGTGTACAGATGGGCTTCTTGTTTCTCCTTCTTCTTCTTATTTTCCTCCTCACGCTCATTTTCGAATCGTTGCACTAGGTGGGCAGGTACTTGAAGATTCTCATTTTGGCACAGCACATCATCTGCAGAACGCAAAGTGTATGTATCTCGCCACTACGTCAACAAAGTGGATCAAATTAAAACAAACAAACTGCTGCCGGACCTATGCAACTCTGTCTGACATAGACAAGCATGTATGCATTCGTGTAGGTTCGTCCCGTTGATTCGCCATCGTCTCCTCCGTAGTTAGCCATTACAGCTTCCCTCACTGTTGCTCGGGACACTACGTCATCATCGAATTTGCACCACTGAAGGAATGCAATAAACCCTTTGGAATCTATGGTTGATTAGTTATACCAAGTTCAAGCTCAACGTTATAGCTATGAAAAAGTGTCATCCCCCATCATATTTGCACTACCAGGACCACTCGACTCCACAAATGTGGGAAAAAAAGGCAATAAGACACACCACAGTGTGCAAAAACTGGAAGTGGGAGCAGTCAGAAATCCCTATATGAAATCGTCGATGTCAATAGAAAGCCGAGGGTGGGCTGATTCCATAGACTAACAATAAAGCAAGTATATATTTTTCCGTGTATTTTTTCGAATATAGACATCAAAAGCCACAGGGCAAACCAACGGTATGAAAACCAATAAAAAATCGAAACGCGCAATTCAATATTTTCGAGACAAAAACGATTTCAATTTAGCTAAATATATGTATGTCCTTCAAACCTTAGGCTTGTATTTCTCTCCAGGTGGGCGGAGTCCGGTGTTGATGAACACAACGTAGTGACCACCATGGAAATCACCAGAGTGGACGAGAACAGCATGAAGGCAATAGGTGTAATCCTCTCCATTTCCTTCCATGAACTCTTTCAAGCATAGTTTATCCGGGAAGGCAAATCTAAAAAGTTCTCATCATCTGGACATTAGCTGAAAACCGTGAAACCATAGACTTCTTACTAACTTGTCATTTATCTTCACATTGGCGTCAAGGGTAGCATCGTATTGGAAGCGCATCAGTTGCAAGTGCAGAACAGGCGGAAATGAGACAAATTTCACTCCTTTTTCAGCAGGCTGCATTCCATAATCGCCAGCGTCATACTTGTTTTCACCATCCAGCCGTTCGACTTGAACATATTCGCGGAAGGATTGCATGACTACAAAGAATGACGTCAATCACAATATAACGCTGCTTTGCTCATCATTGACAAAAGAGCCGATGCAAATGAAACATTCCCAATCATCCTTCAATACAAGCTTCTACAAGAGAATAAGACCGTGTGAGTGGGGAAAACTACGCCAGTCCTCCTCACCACGTTGGATGAAATAGAATCCCAAACAAACTCACTGTTGTTTTTGCCTTTGATGTTGAGCTGGATGTCATAAAATGGTTCTTCCTTGCTGCTCTCGAAACTGACATTAGTACAGCGAATGTACGACTTCATGACACCACGGAACAAATTTGGGATGGTGTCTTCCACCTAAAACACATCCATTACCATGAATGAAAGCAATTAAAAAAGTATCATAATAAAACAGGGAGGCAGTAACGAAAGAAAATAGAAAAAGCTGTGACTTTCTTAAAAGTTCTACTGAGTGAAGTTGTAACTTACAGGAGATTTCTTCATTTTACTCTCCAGGTTATCCAGCAATACCCTACACAATTCTTGAACGTCATGCTGCATAAATGTCTCTAACGAGTCCCAGCCAAACGACTTGGTCAGCTTCTTTGTTCCAACCGGACGGTCGGAGTGCTGTTTAAAAGAATAGGATCAATAGAGCATAGTGTAACATAATGAGCACTGCGACAATGAGAATAAACGTTTAAAAGAGCAGCATTAAACATTTAAAAAGCTACCTGCAAATCATAGAAAACCCGCTGCATAGCCAAGGCAACATTATTCTCTGAATCATCTTGTGAAACCGGCATGTCGTATACTGCCTGGAAACGAGTAAAAGAAATCATCATCATAATCATCAATCAGAAATCAGCGCGAAATATGAAACATGAAACAGAAAAAAAAACTTAGAGAAATACTAGCAAACTCCTTCAAATAAAACGCACCTTTCGTAACTTCGTTGTAAAATATAAAGTCTGTAGAATAGAATTCATATAACATGTAGCACCCTGATTTTTAAGTCCAATATAACCAGCATGTTTTTTACTATCCCATCTGGAAACATTTGAAGATGAATGGTTGCAACGCCAAAAAAGTTCGAAAGATAGTTTATAGCAAGGAAACAGTTCCGATGTTTCGTTGTATTTAAACATTCCTTCAAAATTAAAATACATCACAAATCAAAGAAATGGACTCACTGTACACCGTGCGGAGCATCCGCGGACACGTGGACGACTAGGCGAATAGTGTCATCCTTTATAAAGCCATTCTCGGGATTAATCAGATGCTGAAAAACAGTTCTGAATAATATCGAAAGAACTGTCCGAAAAAAAAACTGCGATAAACATTAAAAAATATAAAGAAATGAAGGAAATGAAATAGCTCACATCGCAAGTTAAAAACTGTGAGTATCCCCAATCATTTTCCTTCGGATAAAATGTATGGGTTATCCGTCGCGAATGATCATCAAAACCTTCTATCTGACCAAGAACCTGGAAATGAAAAAAATAGTCTTTCGCCCGTTTGCATCGACACATTTCGCTCCTATAATAGATAGCAAAGTGGGAACTGTTCAACCAATCATTTAAAACAACATTAAACGACCATCAACTGAAACCGCCTGCATTAAAAACTGTTACCGTAGCCTCGCTTAATTTCCATTCAAAACTGTTATTAGCGAAATTCTACAGATTCTTCGAAATACAGAAAACGCAACTTCTACAGCACTCTGACCACTGGGTGCAATATAGGCAAACTACCAATTGGCAAAAATGGGCAAAATTCCAGTATAACCATGAAGTTCTAGTACATCCCCTTCAAACGCTATAACCATAACAGACTTCAAAATAAGCCAGTTCAAGAGAATGATGAGAGTCATTCAAGAGGAAACATTTAGCAGCTCAATTTGATATTTGTTTTATAAATTGGCCATTAAAAAAAGTCCCAAGTGCATAGCATAAACGACAGCAACGAACCTTTAAGGATGCTGACGCAATGCAATTCCATGCGACAGCGTCAGAGTCTCCATTACATTGCAGGAAAAATCCTAATGCTTTATTTGGCCGGGTACCCGTACCAACCCTAGCTGCATCCCTGAAACCAACGAATTCACGTCATCCCACTTATTCATGGGCATTGCATAAACACCTCATCATCGAATTTTAAGAAAACATCCAAATGGTTCACCTTGGAATCGCTAAAATCTTCCATGGGAGGCCACGTACGAATACAGGTTTCGAGAGACGTTGTTGTGTCTCAGGTGATCCTTTACAGAACTGACTAAACCCATCAATATCGAGGTAGATAGTGCCTTCGGGCTTGTACAGATCATCGGGATCGTCTTCTTCTTCTGTCATGTAGTCGCTTTCACAACGTGGCATGTCTTCGACAACTAGAAAACATTTTTTAGCACCGCAAATTCATGCCAATTAATGTTTTCTATTTACTTTTTATGGGCTCTGCACATTCGTCGTCACACGATACATTTACATCCATTGCAGCATCTGGAGGTGTACAGGCGTCGTCTTCTTCACTAGCGGAGTCCTCGACCATATCTACCTAAAAGGGTCAGGCAATGAATGCATGGTGAAAACCAATAATCGAATGAAAATCGTAGATCTATACTTACTTCGACGTTTTCTACGTCTGTGTCCCTATTATCGACGTCCATTTCTCTGTTCTCCACGTCGGTTTCTTGATTTTCTATATCAGTTGACTTTAGTACAATGTCTCCTTTATTATTGACCGCATCTTTGGCTTCGATTTCCATCTCTGCGGCCGAGACGTCCCTTTCTGTAGTACCCTTCTCTACAGAACCTTTTGTTGGTGTCTGGCCCTTCTCGTCAACTCCGTTCTCCATATTGATATATAGGAGGGTCAGGAGTGATACGATATTCTATACAAAATCACGATACACTCTTATAAACTATCCACCAACAAAATTTCTTGATTGGATACGGAAATGTTCACTATCGGAATGCAAAGGACTAAGAAGGCATAAATGACGAACATAAAAAAAACAAGAAATAAATGAGCGCTCTGTATTTCGATCTCGACCCCCAGCCCCACCCTTACTCCGAAAAACTCTACTGCTCGCCGTGTAACAACTAATCGTGCAGTCCACAAGAAAGTAAAATTCAGGAGCACAGCATGAAAGAAGATATTAAGAAAGGAGAAACCTATCAATTTTACGAAAAATGAGAGCAAAAAGATCGAACGACGACAGCCACCAAGACCAAAATCGCTTTTAATGTCTACATGAGGGCCACACGCAAAGACAAGTATACAGAACATACTTTGAGCCTTTTAAGTCAATGCAAATGATGGTTACAAAACCCAGAACAAGTTCGTAGTTGGAAAGCTCCCGATGGTAACCACAAACTTACTATAGATGGTTAGAGGTAAACAATGCGGCGCTGACTTTTCCCTAAGACGGAAAATTAACTAAGACACGAAACTATACGAGGCAGACCGACGTACAAGTTTCTCAAAAGAAATGGGCCCGACCATGCACGGCCGCGTGCCTGGACGGTCTCCAAAAACCCAGAATTAGAGGGACAACGTGTTGAAACAGGGCAGAACGGGATTTGCCGTCTGACGCTGCGCAGTATCTCCGCGGCCATAGCAATAGAGCACGTTATCTGCAAAAAAAGCCCTGCGCTAGTGGATGTATGGGTAAACCATGAGAATAAAGTTTATTATTTCTGTTATAATTAGAGACTGACAGTGAAAGAACTCAGGCTTCTACGTAAAAGTAAATTTAATGTAGAAGAAGCACAGCGCAAAATGCTACTGATTGCATGTAGCAAAATCATACAAAAGTCGGAAACAAATTTAGAATTCGGGGGCGAATCCAACAAATTCTCGAAAAACAATTTTTCTCATTCTTATGAAGAACCTCATCATTTAAAAATTTGTTGTTATGAATCTGACAGAGCACCAAGAGCAAGGAGAAATATGGAAGGGAGCTTTAAAGTAGCACAGTTTACAAGTAGTAGCAACAACTCCAGTAGAATGACGTCAAACTAGAAGTGAGCTCAAGCCTTTCACCTTTCACCACTAGAAATACCACCATGCTAAAAGGTTCACGACCTAAACCATCTTTCTATACGCCCCCAAAGTGTAGCATTCGGAGCATTCTCGCTAGTAAATCAATGAAAACAGCTTGTTAACCTGTTTTGGCTTGTAACGAGTAGCGAGTTATTAACAGGAAAGTGACAATCGATTAGAGGGATCATTTGACTGCCAGGTGATCCAAACCTTGCGGGTGGTTGTGAGTTGAATGGTTTGATGATTACCTCCTGCTCTTCCTTTGAGGTGAGTTCACTTTTACAAATTGGTAAAGTACAAATCGGTCTTTAGAATATTTCAAGGCTTTCAGCGCGTAGCTGGAGCGCGAAGAAGTCGATGTTCCTAACTGGGAGATTATTGACTGGCTTAGATCCATATTGACATTTTGACATTGATACGAATATAGAGAAATCTAAGTTTCTTCTCGGTTTGTGCAGTAGACTGCATAAAATCTGGTGAATTACTACAATACTTTAGCAAAAAAGTAACGCTTTTTGGTCAGGGTTGGAGGCAGCACAAGTAAAAAAACCGATCACTTTACTTGAATAAGAGCACCTTCAAGCAAGGCCAAATGGATTTTTGATCTCATTAGTTCAGAAAAAATATGTAATTCACTTAGATTATGTCACATTGAAGATGAACCAAGCGAATCAAAAGCAAAGCGTCCGACCATAACTCAAATATTGGACTTACTGAAATTTTTCTTCTTTCGTTAATATCACTGAGAAAAATCAAATGTCCCAATAACAATGGACTAAGAAAAAATTACAGAAATAACGAGGTTCTCTCAACATCGCAAATCACCTCTTAAAAAAAGGCAAATTCGGGATCCCTCACAAAGTGATCAGCAAGATCGCTTTTCAAAGTGGTCAGGAAGGGCCAAAACGGTCAGGGTTAACAGAACAGGTTACCTTATTCTCTACAATGGATTACCTGCAGAAACAAAAGGCTTCAAAAATGTTCTGCCTGGATTACGTAACTCAGCGACTTCCCTAGCCGCTAGCCTCACTCTGCGTCTCTAACCTCCTGCATTTCTCTGCCATCATTTGAATCATTCCGAATGAATATTGTGTATCTGTTCATTGGTCATGTATCTAATCTCATTATCTTGTATTGTTTGTAGAAATAAATCGTTCGCTTCTTCATTGAGTTGGCATGAATCAATTGTACTCCTCATTACTGGTCCAAGGCAAGCGCATCGACGTGGTCCCACGAAGAATACCCGCCGTCGGTAATTTTTTCGAGGTGCTGCTCCTCATTTCCTCGGCCGTAAGTTCAGGAGCAATAATAGTTGTGGTTGGCAGAGTCACAGACTAAAGTTAAGGAACTTGTTTTTTATAAAGTCTGTGAGTCATTAGAAGGGATCTCGGATAAACTTCTTTGCGGGAAGTTATCCAGCGAAATGCTGTTGCATGTTATGCAGCGGTTACTGCAATGTGACCGTGGCCAAGGTTAACAGGGTGGTTTTTGCTGGGGAAAGATTTTTGGGAGAGGAGTGTACAGCTCCAGACGAAGATTTGCATGTCGGAGTGTGGGTGCGCTACCCTGTTCCCCCCTACCGCCGTCCAGGGCTGCGCTTTTGGAGCCCGGTGCGTGGTGATTGTGTGCGTGTGTGTGTATGAGTGTGTGAAGCAACGCCGATACTACACAAACGCCTCCTTCCCTCCGTAGTTTCTTTGCAGTCGCCATTGTGTACGATTCGATCAGCTGTTCGATCCATAAGTTGTTTGTTTGCAGAGTTCTTCGGTCAAATTCCAGGAAATGAAGACGAAGAGCGCGGAAGAATCGTCTGACGAAAAAGCTTCAGGTGAGTATCTACAACCGCTGTCGTTGAATTGTTTCTCTTTATCTGTATATTTTTATTTGATAAAGCATTATCAAGGCTAAAAGTAAGCCTTCGATACAACTTTTTAAGCCAAAGCCGACGACGGGTTTCCAGTGGCCATGGATCTCATATCGTATAGTAAGTGTAATCACTTTAATGCCAATGGGAAACAACTATCGTTTTCATTTTTGTGGTTTTTAGATGAACTGCTTGAGAAATATTTGCAATCCAAAATGACTAAAACACAGCTTACCGTTAGCAATATCGAGGATGGGAGTTATTTGTTGAAGATGAACATCGACCCTTTTCCACCACTTACATGCCTTATTTCGAAACATGACTGGTAAGTAACAGATATATTTAACGTCTATCACTTTCCAGATTCTATCTTTTCGATTTATGAATTAGTAGCAGTAAATCGAAATAAAATTAGTTTTATTTGTATATGCAACGGAGATCGGTGAGGAGTGTTTGGACGTAAAGTTAACGTAGAATTAGGATTTTGTCCATCTTTTGACTGTGAGGGTGTTGAAAGCTGTTTTACAGGTAGAATTGAGTGTTTCTTTTTTACTGGTGATATCACAGATTAGTTAGAGCGAGTGAGGTCAGTTATAGTGCTTTTGTGGATAATGTTAGTATGACATGATCAGTATTTTTGATCATTATTCAGTTAACGATTCAACCTGTGATATCAAAGGTTTACCAGTTAGGTTAGAACAGTTCTTCTTGGCCATAATTGGGAATACAGCAGTTATATGCCAGAACAGAAGAACTTTACGCATGGCACAGCTCGAAATTTGCAATTCTGAATTTTATTTGTGACAAATATTTATTTATTTTAAGGGTTCTGACGATGCAGAAAGTAAGCTCCCTTGTGAAGATGGGCAGTGAAACAACACCTGCTGTGAATTCGTGAGTAACTGACATGAAATGTTTTAGTTTTGCTGTAGAAACATTTTTTGAAGGTGTCCACCTGTGGATGAAACTCTTGAGACGACGGTGAGCGTTAATGAAACGACACCTGAAAGCAAAAAGTCCCCTCTTTCTCCTCCAAGTACAAGCAATACTAGCTCATCACAGGTGTGTTGCTATTTTGAATTGATAATCAATAAATTGTAAAGTGAAGGTAATTTCGAATTTTACGTTTATATCGTGCTTAGTAAAATAAGGATCAGTGGTATATGCTGGTATTTTTCACTAGCTACCTATCTTTCCGTAAGCTAAACTTCATTGAGCTGAATGTATTGCTTAGGATTGGAATACAGAGCGCTTTTGTTCAAATATTTTGATAATTTGTAGTTTTTAATACTTAACATTGTTCAAGTTCGTTCTCATGAAGTTGAGCATGATTGCTGAATGTGAAAAAATAATGCAAGTAATAAGGTTATAGTGAAAAGTGAATTATAACGAAAACTTGTTGGTGATGTCATCAGGTTCAGTTTTATTTGTCTTTTGTGTTTCTCTCAAACATGCATCACTTAGTCTTCCGCTTAATTGAAAGTTTATAAGTGATGTTTGTGAAGTTCTGGCTCTTTTCAGGGAGAACAGCGTAATCGTAAGAGTCGCCGATCGCTAAAAGTTAGATTCCATCGATTAGGAGCTGATCAATACAAAGTTGTCGGTGTAGCAGAATCCGCATCCCCAATAAAAGTTGCCGGTGAAGATGATCTCACTGCCCAGAAACATACACCCAAGAAAGGGCATAAGAAGGGAAAGGTAAGGCGGTCGGATATAGTTGTTTTCGATTTCTTCTGGTCCAAACTTCGTTGGAACCCTCGAGGATATGGCTATCGTTTAGTTATCTTCTTTTGTTTTGTGATACAGATGTTGGGAGACGCTTATAAGAACCAATTTAAAAGTACAAAAATTCTCGAAGTCACGGGCGAGTGCAAATGTAAATTGGCGCGGCAAATGTAAATTGGGACTCATCCTCCTCAGGGAACCATCTGAAAAAGTTGCTTCTTTTGAAAGTTCTCAAAATACTAAATCAAGCTGCATTGGGCGAATATATGGTTTTAAGGGCTTCATTGTTTCAGCTCGTGCAGAAGCAGGTTAAGCTGAAAAGCTTTTTGGAAAAAAAATGATTATCAGAGAAGCTAGTCAGATGGCAGAGAGTCGTTATTCCAGTCTTGTAGTTTTAATGTTAAAATTTGTAATAATTGTAAAATTTTGACAGTTGGAATGATTTGTGAGTTGTTGTAGAGGTTTGATGAGCTTATTCTCCCGTCACGTGAAGCAGCCAGTGTAGAAAGTATCATACTTAGGTAGCAAAAATCGAATATTGTTCGATCAACAATTTTGCCTGACTACATTTTTCATGTTTCAAAATTGTCCGCTTCAGAAGTCAAAACGTCGCAGTAATGAGTCGATGGGCAGTGAAGAAGTCGCTTATATGATCGGTGGGCTGCTTGGATTCTGATTAAAATAAGTGCTTAGTAATAGCACTTTTTAGATGAGAGTCCAGTTGCCGAGTTATGTTCGAGTAACGCATCCCAAATGTTAAATGGAAGTAGCTCTGTTGGTTCTGCTTCAAATGGTTGCCATGATAGCTCGTTACCAGAGACAATATGTTCTTTGTCAAAAGTGTTCGAGGCCAAAGCAAAGAGTGGTGCTGTAGTGGTCACCTGGCCTTCCAGTACTGAACCGATGTCCGTGCAGAATGGTGATAGTGACAGTTCCATCGCACCGGCTCAATCTCTTGTCTTGCACCATACATGGAAACGTAAGTGGAGATTATTTAACTGCTACTTTGTTGTATGTATCTTTTTTAATTCTCCTAAACTCAAATCTTAAAGCTGGGCAGCTTGACAGTGTGATTTTACAAAGTAGAGGTACTGCAGCACAAACGGATATGGCTTGAAACGCGCGATTGCAGTCGCCCATCTGAGACTAGGTCACCGCGCGCGGAGCGACCTGTTTTCGCGGCACGTCCCGGCCCATAACTTTGGGCGAGCGATTCGTATGTCAGGGAAATGATTGTGTCGATTTGTTATAGATCTTTAATATTGTCTGAACAGCATCTCTAGCTGGTAGGATATGATTAATAGTTGCCTTTTCTCGTAGTCACATGGTGGGGCGTCATCTTTTTTCTGCGATTTCGGTCACAGTTTGGCAAACTTCGATGAACTTATGGGGCAGCTATTTTCTCCACTATCAAAGAAAAACACAGCTGTTGTGGAAGGTATTGATTATTTACGTGATGCACGGGAGTAGTCTGGGTGGCTTTTCTAGAGTCAAACAAATCGGCAATGGATTCAGTGCGTGATGTAAAATCTATTGTTTCATTAGATTCAGAGCACAGAAGCATTCAAGAGCCAATGCATTATAATCATGTTGTTTCGACCGAGACTTTATTTAATGCGTGTACGATCGATCAACAAAATAAAACTTAATTGTGACATAGTTTTTTTTTGCTTGGAGTGATAATACAGAGAAGTTTTTATTTTGCAACGACGACTATGCTTTTTTTTACTGGCAAAATGAAGACCAAGTTTCATCTAATTAGCCCCTTAACTGTGATGAACGACTGCCAAATAGCATTACACTACTATAACACTTTTCAGATAAACACCGGCGTGGCGATCCTGTTAAGGTTTCTTCATACGTCAAGCGTCAGAGTACTCCTGTTTCAGGTTTGCGATTTATCACAAGCAGGCCTCTTCAGTAGTTACCTATCAATGAATTCATTTTAGCTACGATCTCAGTGAAACGGCGCATTCCTCGTATGAGTCCACGTATAGACACGGTGAGTTTCGGACCTCATAGATCGTGGAAGTGTAGAGAGATTTCCGGCTCACATTATTATTGCGAAAATAATTTATAGAAACATGTGCTGTTCTTTCATTGAAAAGGAAGATGCTCACCCCTTTTTTGGCGCGGCCAAACACTTGTCCCAGTTAGACAATATCAGGATTATTATTGAAAAAAACTGGCTTTGAAAACAGTGCTAACCTCCTATCAAAGTCCTTCTATATTCCATAAATACGTGGGCGACCTTAAAGGAGGCATTCTGGAAGGAATTATTTGTTCTGCCAACGAAGGTTTCATAGGTTGGCTTTATATATGAGTTATAATTGATTAATTGCACATTTGACGCCGCCGTACCAATGAGATCAATAACTTACGCTCACAAGGGCGACTGACAATAAAGTTTTGTTCATAGTGGGAGACTAGTGTAAACGGAGAAGCGTGGGATTACGAAATCCACCACTGGCCTCACAACGCACCTATCTGACAAGTCATGGAGCAATGGGAGTGTGTAACCCGCTTCCAGGGTAGGTAGATATCGATCGGCTGGCTCTGCCCTCTCGAATTCTGTCCACACATCCAAGCATAGTTAGGTTATACGCCGTCGGCACGTGATTATTAGGCCAGGCAATCGTGATAGGACCTTTCATCTTGTATGTTTGAAGATACAGGGTATACCATAATGAACCAACGTACTTTCGACATGTAGGCAGTGTTTTGGGCTGGTTTCAACTCGGTTCACACAGTTCCAGAACTGCTGAGGTCGACACATACTTGTGCTTGCAGCGGATTCCGCGTTTATACAAGCGCATTGCGGTTTTGCGCTTCTTCAAACGTGAACACCGTCCAGTTGCCGAGTTGTTAAGATAGCTAATGCACGAAAATTCGAGNAAATTCGATTTGCGTCACAGTCGGTGACTTTCTCGTAAAGATAGTGAAGTAGGTTTTTGTGCAAGAAGCCGAAGAAGGGGTCACTTCCAAGAAGTTCTCGTCATGTGACCAACCTTTGCAGTAAACAATCCACTGTGATCATGGCATACACGTTGAGTTGTCAAATAGATTATTAGTTTGGATATTAATGTTTCTTGTTGTTTCTCGAAAAACTTTCTTTTCTAATAAGTTCTCTTTTAGTCTGAAGTCGAATCGCGGATGTCTGAACGAAAATACGAACGTGAGTTAGCTCTTCCTATTCACCTTAAATGGGTGTTCTCAGCGAACTTTTAGTGAGGCGACGTTATTCCGCACCTCCGTCCACGCGGGCAAGTGACTATCCGGGTGATGTTCCGACGTCAATCGCCCCACCACCATCCCTCGGACATGAGGCAATTCAAATTTACAACTTCTGCCGATCTCCATCCGAAAATACAGTGGGTTCATTTTCCTTAAAAAGATTACCAGTTAGTCTGGAAAACGAGTTGTTGCAGCGATCGAAGTGTAAGGCAAGAAAAATGAGTGACGTATCAGACGAGCCTCTGTTTGCTGTGAAGAAGGAGGAGGAGATGGCACCTTCATCTGACGCCGACATAGCTTCGGTAAGCAGGACAAAAACAAGAGTGATATTCACAAATAGCCAGACTTTCTGATCGCTATTTGAATGTTGGGGATATTGTTATATTGCTCATTCAGCGCCTTTACATTTATTTACATTTAGCCAAAGAAACCGAACACTAATGGCACATCGCCTCGTGCTCCTCAAGTAGTAGTAAAAAAGGAGCCCAATGAAGAAACCAATCCTAGTTTGGCATCAGAGTCGGTCCCAGCCACAAACCAGAAGTCGGTTTCTCGTCGTGGAAAGAGTAAAAAGGCGGGTCGTGTAAGTTTCCATTTTGGATAGCCTTACTTCCGTTGAAACTACTACTAGTTACTATTTATTTTAAGCCGAAGAAGATTCGACCACGAGCTGGGCGTCGAACTGGAGAGCGTGTAACAGCTGATGATCAGGTATCGACCTATAATTCGATTAGATATAGTTGTCTCCTTACAGGAGTGACATTTTTTTGATTTTTTGAATATTATGCGTGATGCAGGGAAGTTAGTCTACATTAGTTTTGAGATTCCATGTTCCATTGAGAATACCGTTCAGATCTCATCTGATGACGTTGCGTCTCGTGTAACATATAATGCGGCTGGCGATTCTGATGCTACGGAAGAAAGTCGAGTTCCTAGTGTCGACGAGGAAGTCGTGGAGCGTCTAATTCTTTCTAGTGGAGGCCTTAAGAAAAAAGAACGATCCAGTCGTAAAAGGCGCTCGTTAAATACTGATGGCATTGGGGTTGAGGTGAACCCTCGCCGACGCAGAAGTTCTGGCGATGCTTATTTTGGCGATGATGACGATGAAGACGGTAGAGATGGTCTCTATATTGATGAAGGGGAAGCCCGCAATGAAACTGAACCAAAAGATGCTCCTCCGGAAGACGTCTTGATGGATCAAGAGAATCAGTGTGACACCGATGACAAGGATGTATGTGTTCTTCCAACAATTCGTATTGAAGAAGCAGATCCTCTGGCAGAAAAGGAGGAGCACTTCGAGGAAGAGGTTGAAGAAGAACACGAGGCTGACCCCGAAGATGAGCACGAAGCTGAGCCCGAAGTTAGTGATGGAAGCCTGCGTTCCGAGTCGGACCTCTCACGTCTTTCACTGGATAGGACTGTTACGCGCCCAACTGAAGGAACCCTCGAGTATAGGTAGGGTTTTTTTTTCCAGAGAATCAACCGTAGTCCCTAAGTTTCATAGCTGTTCTTCGTTTAACGGCGCCATTTTTCACAAGTAATCAATAGTAGATTTTTCAGATTCAAAATGTGGTCAGACGCTTACAGGAGATTCAGAACTAACCCATATTTCATTCCTGAAGGAGAAGAAGCGAAGGCGCCTCAATTTGTTCGCTATCCTCCTCGCTCAACTAGTGATGTTGTAGTTGTACAGAAGGACGACAAAGCCTTTGCTTTGCTTCGCGGCCGTTTTGAAGTTGCAATCAAACTCCCCGTGAAGGTAATTCAATACATGTGAACGGTATTGACTTAGTTCGTGCAATTTATACGAATTTCCTCGCAATCAGGGTCCGAATCCGACCAACTGGAAAGAAATCCTAGTTGGTGATGTGGTGTGGGTCAGATGGCGTAAGAACGAACATTGGCCAGCGACAGTATACGAAATCACGGATGCAGTCCCAGTAAAGGTAGGCAGAAGACCTTCTGTAAAGGTCAAATTAGTCGATATGTCGTTTGATAGCTAATGAGTTGTTACAGGTAACTGTCTTCTGGGTAAATGACAAAACTCAGAGTACTGTCGATTACACTCAAGTAGATCTTTTCGACATGGCTTTCCACATCAGGTTGGTGGTCGTAACTTTTGATTTCTCATGATAACTGATTTCCATCGTTACTGGTCTTCCCCCCAAGAAAGCACCCGGTTTCGGCTTCATATTGATTTTTTAAATCTCACTAGTTTTTGTTGCTCTTAGATTTGCAAAACTTCGAGTACGCGCTCAAAGCCAATTCACTCAGTTGTTCTCGGTGAGAATCCACCTGTTCCTTTACGCTTGAATTCTAACACAACAGCTGTTGCCTTAACGTTGATAGAGCCTTGTTGTGTGAACAATGAAATCGTTATCAAGTCGTTGGCTACATGTGGTTAACAGAACCTGGTGAACCCCATGATAGGTGACTGATGAGTTATTAAAGAAAAGTGAAGCGAGCTACGTGTAGTTGTGTCAAATTTTGCAGTCGTTTTCCCGTTTCTTATATGATCTCTATGATTCGATCGATTCTAATTTAGATTTGACTGCCGCAGATCTGATCCGAAGTATGTAAAAGCAGTGGTAACAGCACTCCGCTATGTTGGAAAGATGGGTTTCTGGGAGAGGTGAGCTTTTTCGTCGCCTGAGTTGAATACCAATTTTCACCAATACATTTAGTGTGATGGTAGTCTAGCGTGTTCAAAGTATATAAATACTGGATAAATCCTAAACAATCCATATTCAGCTTCCTAACAAGAAGAGTCTACGAAGAACTGGTCAAGGAAGAGGGTCCGACTTTTTGTCAGCATATCAGTGCAGAAGAGATCAAAAGAATCATGAGCAAGCAGGCGAAGCAGGCAAAGCTGTCGAAGGAAATGAAGAAGGAAGATCAGGTCATTTACCTAGTAGTCACGTAGTAGCAAAAAAAAATTGGAAATATTTGGTGACTTGAGTAGCGACGCTACGTATTTTCACAACGAGGCTCGGCGTTTACCTTATGTTTGCTTTGGACTTTTAACTACAAAAACGCATTCTCTTTATTGTTAGTTTTACTTAACATTGATCTTACAGTCAAGTCCACATACAACATATTTCAGATCCGCCTGCAAAAAAGCGAAGAGCTACTGCAAGCTCTACAGGCGTCCCATTTCATCTTCTCGTATGATGACCCACCCATAGTGGGAAGCGCGTATCCACTTACCAACCAAGTGTGAGTCTTGCTTGAGTTCATACAGCTGCAAGGTTATCACCTACGAATTACATGTTTAGCCTTGAGGATTACCTCGGAAGTGCATGCTATGCCTCGCGCAATTCTGAGCCACTGTTTGAAGATGGTAAAAGTCCGTTTTTCGGCGCAGCACAGAAGTATGACATCGATCCAGAAGTTATGGGATCAAATGAAATCGTATGTTACGTTATGCTACCGTCGCCAAAATTACTAACATAATTAGTTATTCTTATAGTATCATCCTGACTATCCTGAAAATGGAATACTACCTCCTGAGAATGTCATTAATGTTGTAACGATTGGTTATGGAACTGGCACAATGGACGAGATTGATTCTAGCGACAACAACCACATGCAAGAGGTCAATGAGATCGCCAATATTGTAATCGATGAAGTGAAGGTATGACGTATAGATTCAAAACTTTTTTGATCTCTTGAGGCGTTGTGAACATATAGTATATACAGAAGCTTACCTTTATCTTGCGACTGGTAAGGATGAGGCAAAAGCAAGTAGGTGGTGATGTCAATCCATAAGGGTAGGACCTCTCGGGATATCAATTAGAAGCTATTCATCACCTCCGGGAGTGTTTCGGATTCTTTAGTTTGGTGTCAAGTACTTGAAATCTTAGTTATGCGATTCGCTGATCGAATCAATCGTGCTTCCACTACCCGTGGGGTGCGACGATGGCAGGTGTAGCTCAAAGTAATCTTAAAGGCAGCTTACTTCCTTAAAGCACCTAAAAGTTCTTTATTGCTTCTGGGGTTGTCCTGTAAGGATGGTTGCATTCTATTTTGTGTTCTTAATAATAAGCTTATGAACGATTCTTAAGCCCGGCGACGTTGCCTGGTGTGGTCAACATCCCCTTCCGCGACCGCCCGTTCAGTGGGTGACTGATGACTCCTGGGCGATGCTTGGCGATCACTTCAATGAAAGGTCTACTCTCTGGGGGGGCATGCTGATGTAGATAGGATCATGGTCTGCGTCAGGAAATTCTTCACCGTTAAGCATTGTTAAGTGCCTAGTTCATCCATCCAGGAACGATTCAGTCGCTTTGTCATTCCGCTGAGTTTGGCCAGAGTTTCATTGTGTAACTAATCTAACCATGTACATTTCCAGCCTCCTACAATGGAACCGTTCTCGGAAATTGATGCTCTGCGTCGTGCTCAACCCTATCGTTTGCCTCCTAAGAAGCGTCATAGGTTCAAACCTTTCGGAGTAAAACCATCGAAGATGAAGCGCCCGATTTGATGCGGTTCATGGCGTATGCCGCCTGGAAACCCGGTTAAGTGAATATCGTCTGTGTTATCTCTGTGTCATGGTTGTTGTTATATCTGAATTTGAGATTGTTTTACATGAGAGTCTGTGTGTCTGTGAGAAGACAGGTGTTAATCATCTCAATATGACAGATCTTTTCCTATTACGAGTCTGTAAAGCGTATGTTCTTTTTTTATGTGGAAATGTGTATTTTTCTTTGGTACATCTCCTCTCTGGTTCTCATATATTGTTTTGATGAGCTAATGATCGCGGGTGGGTGTAATAGTTATCATTTTTATTAGATATAAGTATGTTTGTATATGGTGCGTGTGTGTGCGTATGTATGGGAGCGTCTGTGTGTGGATGTGTGTGTTGTCCACAATCCAATCATTTCATTTTTTTCTCGTACTACAAGTGAGCTGATCGAGAAGTTCAATTTTCTGGTATACCTGAAAAAAATTCTAGGAAGATGTAGGATTTATAGTTCCTTTCAACAATTCAATTTGAAGTTATGCCGAATCTTTGCCTCATTGTTTTAATATCAATAATCTACACCCAGTGACAAATATTTTTTCTTCATGATACTGGTCTATAATAATTTACAAAAGAGCTGTCTTCTTCATGTAATTTATTGTTTCAATTGAATATGGAATTTTTTGTTTCATGGCCCCGTGTACCATTATTCCCATGAGAGATCCTAGAGGAGGTGGATGCTTATGACCACCTAATCAATTTCAAAGTTATACCATTTGTTTTCAGTAAATTATCAATAAAGATGCTTGTAAAAAAGTCTTGTTGTATTGTTACCACCTCGTGCAGAAGCACCATAACAGGTGTTAAAATTCACAATCAGCTGGCTTCGGGATATTAACTAGGTTAATGGGAGCTTTAAAAGAGGCTTCTGTCTAGTAGAGCTGGAGCATTGATAGATGTTCCTCGGCTATCTCTGTTTTAATAGTGGCCCGAACCCCTCCTTATTTTGTCCACAGCAGCTGGTAAGCCTATCAGCTGATAAAGCCAATCGTCAAATTCGCGGGGCAAATTCGAAAGTCTCATTTAAAAGACTATACTAGTTAGTGTATATGAGTCACTGTGTATATATTGGCATCATTTGGCTGTTCAGATATATAGGCTCCCTACATTGTAGTCATTTGGTCCATAGGTCCATCTAATAAGGGGGTAGTGTGTCATTATCGAGGTGGTCATGCAGATAGCACCTGCCCATGCCCTGAGAGACCAGGGAACATCCTATAAGGGAAGGAAGGAGTTCGACTCCAAAATCAAGGGAAGCGGCACGAGGAATTTTAAGGAAGGACTGGTTGGAAGTGATCAAGAAAGTGACTTCGTGGGAATCTAAGTACTGGCAGAAGATGCCGTAGATAGAAAGAAGCGGTAACGGCTGACAAGAATAGCGGACCCGGCGACGGAGAGGGATTTGCGATAGGGAGAAGGATAGGAGCAGCACTGTCAAGGCTCACTCATCTTGTTAAAAAAGTTACGTTTTCTTAGCGTGATCTCCACTTTTCTCCTCATCGATTCATAGGAGTGACGGGTATGGTCAGAAAATTTGGCGCCTTTTCTCGTCTCTCTTCAGAAAATATAACGTGCTATGCAAATCTTCAATCAACTGTGTTCAGTTCTAGCATAGTCCTTCTTGTCTTTACTCTTTTTGACATTTACAAAACTTTACTTTTAACATGTCTGTTGGTAGTTCAATCTGATTTCCAATCACTCGCTCGAGATTTACTACTTCGAATGTAGCTCGTCCACCTCCTCCTATTAAGTTTGATTATTTGAAAAGCGATCTACACATTTGGAATCGGCACCAGCAATTCTACAAAACTATATAAAATTGTATTAGGAAAAGTTTCTGTGCTGATCTTCACTGTTCGCTCCTTGATCGTATGAGGTAGCCCACGCTTGGCTCCCCGCCTGTGTCCTCGTTTGTTTCTTCTATGTAATGTTTGGTTTTTTGGCCAATCCCTCGATTTTATGACGTGCTCGTTTTCTCTTGCCCATCAATGCCAAGGATTACGGCAATCCGTCATGCAGGCTGATTTGATATGCTGAAAATGGAGGAAACAGTTTCTGGAACCTCCCCAGTAACCTGATTATGAGCTCAGTTTTTAATGGTGATTTCAACCATGAAGTTCATCATCAGTTTATCAAGGAACCTGCCAATTTCAAAAGAACTTATCGCATGAGCGTTGAGGTCGCCTTATTTCCCTAGAAAGGCGAGGTAAGGAGGGTCTGATTGGCTTTGTAGTGGGCAGCTCAAGAAATCAATTGCTATATATTGTACACGTGTACGGGTTGGTTGATTCTATTGATTTTCGATCCCTTGACTGCGATGTCGCACCACCTCTATTACAGTTACTGCAAACTGTTTACCTGTCAGTGCCAGCTTATCTGTGATGGTACACATACTAAACATTTGTTCGCTGTAAGGCCCAATGGTAAAAGTCACTACCGTTGATTGATCTTGAGATCGTTGAGCTTGTGATCGTTGACAATGTGCTCTCAAGCTGAACCCCTGTCAACCGTGTCCAGTAAAGCTTGATGAAAAGGGAGATGGAGGAGGGTGCAAGAAGGGCCGGCTACCAGCTGTATCGTTTGCAAGTTACCCATAATCTGCTCATCAACTGGAAACAACTTTTTTATTGAAGCAAGAACTTTCATCATGGAAGTAGGGAGTGGAAGAGACGTTACTGTAACAAGAATACTTAGTTTGTAAAAAATGAGTCTCCTCTGCAGACCAACTTTAACTTCCCTGATTCCTTCTATGAGTACAGAAGCACTTTTAAACCCTTTTCTAGTAATAGGCACCATACGCTATACGCTGCGAGAAAAAACCCTTCCAGGACATGTCATGAAGCATTAACTGGGCTGTAAGCTGACGTCATCGTGATGCAATAAGCTATAACTTTTGCCAAATGTGGTAAATGTGGTAGTATTGATCTCGATAGCATGGGCTTGGCTTTAATGGGTTTTCCGAAACCAGCGTTGCAATAGCCGATGGTAAATGATGCAATTCAGATGAGTAGAGCTTTAAATGTCGCTTCCCGGGCGACGCCAGGAGATGAAGCAAAGATCTGGGATATTTCTAGGATGACAGCAAATTTGGCCTCTCATTTGGCGCAAATGAGCCTTAATTAGGCAAAGATCAGGCTACAGTCTTCCTTTGGATTTTTTATAGCTTCGCTGTAATGTTGCCTTATCAAGGAACCTGTTCTTTCAGTTGTAACCCGTGTAGAGGACTACAAAACAATTGAAAAAGTCAATAAACGAATTAGGAAAGAGTAGCTCTTGGGTTTTCACCCGCTTCATATGGGCAATGACCTGGACAGCTTATACTGTGGAACTTGGAATAACTTCCCAGACAGAGTAAGCCCCTGCCTAGATGACGTCATAGCCGTGTTGAAAATCTACATTCGAATTGAAAGTTTGTCAAATTTAGTTCGCTTAAAAAGCGCCAATTCGTTCATTCATCGATGCTGGCCATGTTCTGGACGTTCTTCTCGGAAATGGACTTCTTTTATACATTTTGCTCCTGAGTCCAATGCCACTTTACAGTCTTATCTTCTGGAAAAACGGGCTGTTATGGATTTGATACTCATGATGGCAGCATCAATCTACTAGTAAGAAACTATGCAAAACTACTTTAGAGAAGAGCAGCCTGCTCGTTTTTCCCGAATCTCAACCTTTGCATACGTGATGTCGGCACGATTATCCAAGAGCTGCAGCACGCTGTTCCCCTTCAACGATGTGAGAAAAAACCCGGCGCGGCGGCACTTTTCGAGTTTCAGGACGTCAATGAACATCAATACATTTGGTGGACAGTTTTTTTGGAACAGAGAGCAAAGCACATATTTACATCTTAGCTTGTAACACACATGCTCGTTGAGAAGGATTATAACCGCTGCTGAACCGGCTCCCGAGAACACGACTGGGAATTGACTATAGTTCGATAAATCGAGTCTTCTTTTTCAGAACTCTTGCAGATGAAAAGAGGAATCTGAGTGTTCCTTTTTTTAGAAAGAAGTTCAGAGTGTTTTCTGGTCGTCCTGTGATTTGTAATAGCTGTGCAGAGTTCACTGTCTGAGTCATCGAGGAAAAAGAGGGATTGGGCACGCATCAACTGCTAGAGTCGAAACTAGATGATCCTGTCAATCGAGGAATCCATGGAATCCAATTACTAGACGAAAATTGATATGTATCGATCGCTATTCCCTGGCACCCCCGGTGCTCGGATGGCGCAGAATATGAGCTCTGCCTGCGAAGCTATCGTCAAGGCCCGTTTTCGGTTATATTAAACGAAGAAGTCATGGTCCGTAGAAAGGGGTCGAATCGCAGGCCAGTTCACTATCCCTTCCCCAGCTCTTCCACCCCATACTGATGGTGAGGGATATCGCGAATTTGGCGAGAGGATATCGTATTTGAGAGAAGCTTTCAAGTGGAGGGAAAGTTCGTGCGTTGTCGAGAGCTCTTTTCACCTTCACCACACTTGGCCGTGCCTGCGGTAAGATGATACTTCCCAGCTCTTAGATCGATAGACGTGGCTGGCCAGGTTCTAAAAAGATCCCTCCAAGTTCTTGAACGAGCTACTTTTTAATATTGAGAGTCAACTTTTCATAACTACAGCGCTCACACGTGATTTCATACATCTCAAAAGGTTTGAGAAATGCTGTGAAACATTTCAAGTTATGTTAACTGAGTGATTGTTTGATTGTAAACCAATCTCCGTCGGCTCAAACAATGAGGAAATGTTATCAGCCTTCAGATTATCAGATAAATAAATTACTTTTCTACAATACGCAAGTTTTTTGTCGCAAAATCTGCCGAACCTTGTGAACCATATGACACCCAACGTGCACTTGCTCGATGCGCTATGACACCGTCAAAACAGCCAAAAGGAGTTTACTGGTTCGAAGGTACGAAAACGACGCCCTACTTCACAGAGCACGGTGCGCCGTATCCCAAAGAGTCAGCGAGAA